ACCAAGGTTACGCCCGAAGGCACTTTCTTCCTTGCCGGGCCCCCTGGACTAGCGCCCGAATTATCCGACCTGTTCATGCGTCCTTTACAGACTGGCCTCCCATCGAAAAAGAGGGGTGCATCCCCTGACAAGGCAGGGAGGAAGAAACCTAGGGTTGAGGGGAGCATACATGAGGATGAGCAGGTCGAACAAGCTCGGCGGGATGCCAGTATTGCTCCGAGCATCGCACTTGCCAGCGAAGCTCTTGGCGGTCGTGCCAGTATGGCTCCTGACGGTGGCTTCGACTTTGGCGACATGACGGGCGGTTTGGATGAGTTTCAGATGGATGTTGGTGGTGAATTCCCGGTGGCACATGACGAATTGGGATTAGAACAAGGCAAAGGTGCCGCAACAGAACAAAGTCGATCGTCCACGCCAGCCATCGATGGAGAAGAAGGTGACGAGACCTACGCCGACATGACATGCCCTATCGCGTCGTTCGATGTACGGCCCTCTCCCACTCAGGCTCAGGAAGCTGCTGGTGACGGTGAAGGCACAGGATATAGCAAGAACACGGTAAAAGCGCTAGGCATCATCCGCAAGGAGCTGAAACCCGAAGCCCGCGAGGATGGCGAGGAGCGAGCCATAAGCTTCCGCAGGATGACGGAGAAAGCTTCTCGGCGTGCTGCATCCGCATTCTTCTTCGAGCTTCTTGTCCTCGGAACACGGGACTGCGTAAAATTGACGCAGAGCGCTGCCTTTGAGAATATCGAAATCCGCGGAAAGGACAAATTGTGGGAGCGCCAGCGGCACGAATCTATCGCTCCATCTATTGTATCTGCCACAGGATTCTGAGTGTATTTATCTTGTTTTCTTTTGGATTTTTCAGATCTTGATCTCACGACTATCTACGAAATGATACTAGGATTTTTTATCAGTTTATTTTATCTCGCGAGCTCGCTACACCAAGCTTTCAATCGTTTTGTTCCTTGTAGCTTTCCTGATTTATACTGTATCTTCCTATACATCCTAGAATTGTTTGCCTGGATCTGTATGTTCCGTTACCTACAACCAACAAGAATCGAGAACGCAGTCATAAATAAGTCGTAAATGTTCATTATTTATCGTAGTGCCCTTTCGCTCTTTGGGGAATGCATGTTGTTTGAGTCTTCTCGAGGCCTGGACACGTTTTCCGTGTAATCTTATATCCAGCTTCAACTGAACTTAAGCTTTCAAACTGACTGCGAAATCTAGAGGTAAAAACGCGTGATCATAGTTGAACAAGTATCAATTAATTGGTCCAAACAAGTTGAATCAACTAACGTTGCACTCGGAGTGGCACAGAAGATGCCGCTGTGATCGATCACGGCAAATATAATCGGTCAAGTGAGGCCAAAATATAGGGCTCATTTAAATTTTCAGTTCGGTTCACCCTGCTAAACGACAAGGGTTTGGAGTAACTCGAAAGAACCGAGCAAGGTTCGACTGATAAGGGTACCATGAACTCTAATATTATGATACAAGGACCAAGAGCAATACAACTACCGTCAAGGTACAAATGAAAACTACGAGTAACCGCTCGCTGTGAGCGCACCATCCCCATGTGAAGCATAGAGCGCGTTTCGATCTTACTTAAGAGCTGAGTGAAGTGCAGTTGATGATTATAGACGGAGAGACGGGAAGACATTACTGAAATACTTACCAATGAACCAAGCACGCAAACCGACTTTCATATCATCATCAACCTTATCCATGATGGATTGATACGATTCGATGGCTGCTCCAAAACTACCTGCTCGAAAGAGTGCATGACACTGTTGCTGGTTTGCGGTTTGCCACAAGGACTTGAGGTCCCAGCCAAAGAGCTGCGGAAAATACGTAGTTGAACATGAATGAGTTTTTGATTGCGTCATATCAGCGTACCGCGACAAATTCGTCGTATGTCAGATGAATTGACGATTTGTAAAAGAAAGTGCTAGCATTGGCGGCGGCAGTGAAATGTTCAACAGCTTCGTTATGGCGTACATCATTTAAGGCAATGTTTCCCAGTTGGACGCGTAGGTAGGCCTGGTGTACGAGGGGTAAAAGAAATAAATGATAGTACGTGAACCTGGTGTGATCGAGCGCATCACACTCACTTCCACGATACGACAGGCGACAGGATCGACATTGGGACTCGCGGCTAGCTCTCCAATGCGCAGCATCGCCTCTTGATGTTCATTTGCATTGAACAATGCAATGGCCTAAAATCGCAATGAAGCGTGGAGTATGTGAGAAGAATATAAGTACCTGCCTTGATCAAGAAAAGCATGTGATCGGTCTTTAAATCACCATTCGTAAACATGGATGCGAGGTCAAATGATATCCTGGCAGCCAAAACCTGCTTTTTCCCGCAGAGGGCAATGCCCTTGGAGATATGGCCCGTCAATGATGGCTGAATGCTGACGGACTATGCCATCATCAAGGATAACTTTTGTTAGGAGGTCATGCACATGATGGGCCAGTCAATCTCACCTGAACTGCATCTTGAAGCGCTCGGTCCCAGTCGCATTTTCGCGCCATAACAATTGCGCGATTGGCATAGGCAGTGTGACTGGCATCGGATTCAATATCTTGATTTAGCACATTTTCAGCGATAGGCAAGTCCCCAGCTATGCACGCGTTGCGGGCTGCCGAGTTCATAGCGAGGACCTGCGTAAATCATGTTCACGCTGCGTTATAAGAGCCAAAGGTGGGAACATGCCTTGAAATCACAGTAGGCTTGAACCTTGACGTAAAAATTATACTTAGATAATGAATGGGCGGGGAAATGAAAACAAATTTACCTGGCACGTCGCTTGCTCCTTCATGAGGCCATCAGTTGGACCATCCTCTGACAAAGCATTCTCGGATATTGGCCACTCCGAGATCTTTTTATCCACACCTCCACTGAGGATGTGTTTGTCACCCGCAGAGAACGTTACACAGTTTAGTTCTCCAGAGTGTTTGAATATGGCAATGTTTCGTCGATCTGAGAGTCGCCAGAGGCGGACACAACTGTCATGAGATGCGGAGGCGAGGAGAGTGCCGCTAGAGTTCAGAGAAATGGCATGGATAGTCTTGAAATGGCCCTTCCAGGGACCATCGACCTGCTGCCAGGTCAACGTATCCCACGCTCGTATGGTGGGATCAACCCCGTTGCCCCCCAAAAGAAGCTGTGTCTCATCTGGCGTCCACGCGAGTGAGTAGTTGAATGCTCCCCAAATCGTCTGCAGCAACTGGGTGGGGAATGGTGGTGGTGGTGGTGGTGGTGGTGGTGATGGTGGTTGTGTGCAATTCCACCTGTGGTAACCGCTATTAGATCTGTCTGGAGTGTAGTTCTGGTAAATTTGGACATTGCGGTCCGTTGCAATCGCAAGAAGTGCTTGCGAATGGCGCGGCCGCGGTGCATACTGAACGCAGCGGACAATTCCACTACAACTAAGTGTATGGTGCACCTGCCATGATGATGTACTCCATAGTTTCGTGGTAGTGTCAGATGATCCACTGGCCAGCATCCTGGAATCTGAAGAAAAGTCAAGTGAAAATATCCAGCTGTCGTGAGCTTTATTGATTGCTTGGTTGAATGGTTCCCCAGTTTTTCCATGCCAGATGATGAGCTCTCCGCTCTCATCACCGCTTGCTATCCATTCCCCATCTGGTGAAACAGCCAACGCCCGCACCCGACTGCGATGCCCCTCCATCTTCTTCAACACTACACCTGTTTTCAAGTCCCACAGACGAAGCGTCCCGTCATACGAGCCCGTGACCATGCGTTCGTCACGATCGCGGAAAACCGCCAGTGCGATCACGCGATCCTCGTGATCTTCGAATGCTCGAATGGGTGTGGTTTTTGGAATGAGCGTCGCCATCTTAGTGGCTGCAGTACAGTTGAGGTGAAGTTGGTGTATGGGGATGGCGTCTTGCTCGAAGTTGCAGAGATGCATGTGATGGGCTGTTTTAAAGCTGCTTTATAGTATTACTCTCTCACTAGACGCCCAAAACATGAGGCATTTATCCTAAGGACCTTTCTTGGCAATATAAACGAATGGGCTCATGCATCCAAGTCGTGTCGCCGCAATTCTCCATATCAGCCAACGAGCCTGATCGTAATTGTTTCAAGGGTCCACGCGGCAGATAGGAAGACGACATACACGGTTCACCCGATTCACCTGATTGGCCATGCCCTCGAATTCTTCCCAAAGACGTAGTATTCCACCCTGGTGACATTTTGAGCTTCTGTTCCCTGGAACGTTCGTCGCGGAGATCCTACGATTACGAGGCTTCCTTTGATCTCCTTTGGTTGTTAGCATCATAAGTATTTGCCATTAGCATTGAAGATAATCAATCGTTTCAAACTCTGATTTGCAGTGGTTGAGGATGGCAATCGGTATGGCGATGTCCTTCTAGATGGGCCCACAAGTTCGTGTTTCCACTCTAGCTGAGTGTATATTCCGTCGCACGACTGCAACCGCGACCAACCAGCTGTGTCCACCCACCGTGACCTGGTAGGGTAGTTTACGGAGAGCAGAACCCAAGTCTCGTGACTTTGGCACTCATCGTCCCTTTTCGGTCGTTTCCGAACCGAAAAGGGAATAATGGTATATTGTCTCAGCTCGCCGGAGAATCCCGGTGTCTCGACTCAATTTCACCGTACCTTCGTACGTACTACACCCACTTTCACCGTGATGTGCACAATTACCATCCGCTCGAGTCGACTTTGGAGAATCAAGCTGTCTATCAGTCGACCGTGATGTTGATCATTACTTATGTCTCATGTTAGTCTTAAGTGACGGAATACCTTTGATAATGCCGTTATTCCCCCCGAAGGCCATATAACTTGAATACCATTGGCACTATTTCATGCTCGGCCGTTGGTCGTGCCATTCACATTAGGACCAGGTCAGCTTTTCAACCCCCTGATTTCCGCTCCTTTTGCATACTTTTGGCTGTCTTCAAGTCTGAATCTGAACAAACCAGATCCTGTCCTTTCTTTATCGACGATGTATAGTACTAAATGTGCCATTTTACTCGCATTCGCTTCCTTGGTGGTGGTCAACGCCCAATCACTGTTCCCATCATTGACCTACAATTTAATCGTCTCACATATTGGTTATGACTTTCTAGGTAATTTCTCTTGGGAGACAGCGGACGATCCAACGAACGGCCGTGTCAACTATGTCGATAAAGCTACCGCTCTCAAGGATAATCTGACTTTCGGTATGTGTCTCCTTCGCGCTCAATTTATTCGCTCAATTCTTCGCAGTTTCGGACCACAAGTTTATCATGCGCGCTGACGACACGAAGAAAGTTGCAAAATCTGCCCGTGGGCGAGACAGCGTACGCATACATTCGCTGGATGCTTACGACGACGCCTTGTTTGTCCTCGACATATTTCATATGCCCGAGGGTTGTGCAACGTGGCCTGCGTGGTGGACATTGAGTGAGGAAGGGCCCTGGCCTTACGGTGGCGAAATTGATATTATCGAAGGCGTCAACCTCGGTCAAGGAAATCTTGCCTCCCTTCACACTACACCGAACTGCACTATGCCCAAGGCTCGATCACAGAGAGGGTTCGCTATTTTATAACCGTCATACGTATTATTCGCTCAAGTTGATTCGTAGGTTCACAAAATCCACATCATGCGACACATCTGTAAACTCCAATCAGGGTTGCGGTGTCTCTTTTCCTGACCAAGATTCTTATGGGGCAAGCTTCAATGCGGTGGGCGGTGGCTTTTATATCATGGAGAAAAGCAGCACGAAGGGCGTTTCAGTCTGGTTTATCACTCGCGACAGCTTGCTACTTCTCGGTGGCGAGCCCGTCCTGGACTTGGTGCTTCTATCAACACCTGATGCGTACTTCCCGACGGTTAACAACTGCGACTACTCCAAACACTTCAATGCACATAGCATTGTTTTTGATCTGACATTCTGTGTGAGTGCCATTTTTATGTTCTGCGGCGTCATTATGACCTATCCATCAACTTTACAGGGCGACTGGGCTGGGTCTGAGTCGGTGTGGAATGCGTCCACATGTGCGGCCAAAGCCTCTACCTGTAACAGCTGTAAGCCTACCTTGTTTTCATCACTCGCAATCCTGACACATGACTATCGCAGTTGTTGACAACAATCCCAGCGAGTTCACCGAAGCCTATTGGGAAATCAACTCCCTTAAAATATATACACCTCATGGTCTCTTGCGTTAGTTTGACGCCCGCGTTCGTTTTTGTCTTCCTTATACCATACTATCCAGCTATTCATGTAACAAGTCCGGAAGATCATTTCACCATCATAGAAGTCTGTCATCTAGCCCTTGCATTGTTTACGTTACTCGTTAGATACCCTGGAGGAATACAAGTTGTCAATGGATCATGTGCATAGAGTATATTACAACACGTTCTTCGTACGCACTTTATCACTCATCATACACATTGTCTTTTCGCTCGATACCTTTTTATTATACCTCCTTTTGAGTCGTCTCCCCTCAATGCTTCAATCGAAGACTGAGGTAGGCCTTTTATTTACGAGTCTACTATCACATACAATTTCTGATCACCTATGTAGTCTTCCCTTCGTCCCTAGGTATACCATTTATTGTTGTCAATTTCTCAATTGAAGACTTCATTCCTAGTTCGAGCCTCTCTTCGTTCGAGAGAGTATCATCTGAGCTTCGATTATCTAGCTCGTGCAGATCATCTCAATTGCTTTCTACATGGTGTTCGTTCTCTTCGTCATTCGGTGCATCATACCTAGATGCGATTGACTATCTAGTACCGCTGGTCAGTACGCCAGGCTATATTTGGCAAATTTGGATTGTTTTGTCAGCCACATCCTGGTACTGCACTAGTACTTATGACTCCATAGCTCTACACTTTCTACCACCAGGTAACCATCAGGATGCGGTTCTTCAAATCGTTTCGATTGCTGCACCGTCGTACAAGGTCTGAGGGCGATGTGTCCCACATGATTTCCTCTCCACCATCGTCGACTGGGTCACCTTGTTCGATGGAGTCTCGACAGATCCAACAATATGTCAGGCCTACATCGTCTAGCCTAGTCAGCGGATCAGCGGCCCCGGTATTTGTATCCCTTGAGGCCTCCCTCCCTTCATTCGACCCCGCTCAACTTTATCAACCCCGGCCAACACCTCTGGACATGTCTACTGGTAACTGCATTCACCAGCCCGAAAGCGATGTTTTCCGCCTGCGTCAGACCAACACCGAACTCGCAGCCGACCTTGCCGATGTCACTAACGATCTTTCGCGGACCCGCAACGAACTCTATACTGAGATGACCAAACTTGCCCGCTTCCAGCACCAGCTTGCGCGTGGTATGGACCACATCCAGAAGCTTGAATCAAGATTTCAGCGTCTTGCGGGCCTTCTCGTCGACATTGGCATTCCATACTTTACCGTTCAGCGAATCTCTGATGCACTGGATTCTGATCTCGGCACCGCAGATCATATCTTGGTCAATGCTATAGGTGACGCTGTCCACGACTCAGAAGCACTGCTCTCAAGTTTGAAGCCGGCGGTCATCGGCAACGCTGTCCTAGAACAGTATCAATCCGCGCTGCACATGACTCTCAGCGCGCGGCGCAAAGTCTGTGCACAAAAGAAAGTCTCCAAATTCTGGAAACGCCTCGCTCAGGAAGATGACCGCCACACAGACACCGTCACTCCGTCCTCGTCCAATATATCCTCTGTCCGCGAGCCTCTAACACCCGCCCGTCAACACGCTGTCGACTCCCTCATTGCTCGTAGGCGAGATGCAAATGCAGGCTTTGCTAGATATGCATTTAGTGGGGCTTCTGTGCAAGGTGGTTTGGTTCTACCCGTTTCTACCTCTGACATTGGATCTGCGGCGAGTTCTGCATCTGGATCGACTATACAGTTGCAACATACTTCGCCTTCGAGAGCACGATTTTCGATATCTGAACTACGTCGACGTTCGCCCCCCATGGTTTTGGGTGACATTGATCTCAACGTTTCCCAATCATCGGATGGACCTCCAGAAGCGGCTGAACCTGATGATTCAGAACACGATGGATCTGACGACCAGAATGCACGCCCAACAGTAACTCTTAGCCAGGACCTTATTCAGGTATGTCAAATAAACACATTCCACATTCAAAAGATAGTGATGATGGCGCCAACAGAATTTGAATCTTGTTGCCCTTGGGCGTGGACACCGTCGTAACTCCTCGGCCGTATCAAGGTCAAGCATTCCGTCCCGCCTCTCCGATTCCACACCCGCCGTCTCCTCTCTTAGCGCCTCGTCGGGCCTACCCACGTCCTCTTGCGGCTTTAGTTCCGACGTGCCGTTTGACAATTCCGCATTCCATAGTCTGCTTTATGGTATTGGCAGCACTCCGACGAACTCAGACAGGCGCAAATGTTCCAATACACTTATAAGCACCAGGAGGAACTCGCGCTTCCTCGAGCATATCAACGAGTACTCGACCGGATCCCTTGCTATCCTTGAATCTGCAGATTCCCTAGGATTGATGAACTCTACTGGCTCACTTGCTGTGCTCAACACTACGGCTTCCACCATTGTAACGTCCCCTGGACTCTTTGGCACCAGCAGGGAAAGCAAGGATTCGTTGTTCATGTCTACTCAGACGCCCACAACAGGGCCTACCACGCCGAGCAAGACACCGCCTACAGAAAGCAGGACACCCTCATCTAGTGGGAGCAAGCTGCCCGTATTGAGACACTTGCATAGTCCTGATGCTAGTCCTGATGCCTTCAAAGTTTCCATACGCAACCCTGGGGGGATCATAAGGCGGTTGTCGCCAAGCCCTGAGAGCTTCGTACGAAAGCTTCGGAACTTTGGTTCTCGTGACGGGAGCGAGAATGTGAGTCCTGAGAAGCCGTCTGGGATTCCTATCATGCAGCGTAAGATGACGATCAGGGGGCGGGTGAGGATGTAGTATCATGGGTGGATTTCGGATTTCGATCGATTGCTACTATCTTTTCTCTCCTTAATTGTTGTAAATACTTGGAGGTCATGCCATCTTCTCTTTTTTCGATCCATTTTCTTGCAAGCAGTTGGTGGTCTTGAATTGAGTCTGAGTCAAATATTAGCCCTGCTTCTTATAAGAGGAAAGGCCAAGCTGTGCAACACTCGTCAAAAACCTTTGAGTTGTGCAGTGCTGGTCCCTGCATGTACCACACGTGTCTGTAGCATCAGAGCAGCTTCGCGCGACATGACCGTATCGTTGGCATTTTGCACAACAAATGGATTCTTTCTTGTCTTTTTGAATGGTAATGTGCTCGTTTTTGAAACAGAGGCCGTCGCATAGGAGAGTGTTGGCCGTGTAAGCATCAGCAACTTGGAGAAGGGCAAATGCCTTTCTTTGCTGGGGTGAATGACGAGTGGGGGGTTTGACCCAGCGGATGGAGGCTAGCGAGTTGGTCAGAAGTAAGTTCTCCTCTTCTACTACTCTCCCGAGGTGCTTCGGGAGCTCAACCATTACTTCAGGTCCACACGTCAGAATCGACATGGGTACTCATCTGAGGCCTCTCGCGGGGATTCCACCCGGTCATCAAGTTTAAAACCAGCTACTTAAGGCTGGTCCCAGACCACCGCATATTCCCACATGGGGCAGGGTGCTTTTCATCGGTGCCAGAATCTATCTTTACCACAGGCCATAAGAGCACCTGCTCACCGTGGATTCGTTATCCTGACTAACTCAATAGATGCTTAGGGCTCTTTTCCCCATTAACATCGTCACTAGCCTTCGGAGGCATATGCCGGTTTCCTAGTTCTGCCCAAGGTGAAGCCAAATCTAAAGTGGATCGGTCATTGCTCCCACAAGGTCCACGAGGACCTGATTCAGCCGAACTGCTACCCATAGGCACTCCTAGGTAGACCAGACCTTGATGTCTGGTGGCAGGCAGTAATTTTATACCCTGCTCTTGTTGTGTTGTCCATGGGTACCAATTTAATGGTGAACCAGGCTGGCGTTGAAGTCGTTGCCCGACAGTGCCCAAACAGCATGATAGCCGAAAGGAGATACCGGGACGGGTAAAGGGAGAGTTTCTGATGTTTCTTCTGTATGCCCTGCAACACCTCAAGTCCCCAGGAGGACACAACAGCGTGAGATCGGCGTGTTGTCTCGATCTCAAGAAATAATTGATTGATTGCTTGAGTGGTCCAAGCTACCTATCAGTTAGAACGAGCACATTTCTCGTTAGCGTTCAAGTTGCGCGCTGAGAAGTTCGTAGCCGCTATTGGCTGTCATTCATACCTTCCTATTGTACTCATTTCATAACGCGGATCGGTACCGAGTACTGGGATTTGATCAGCCTGCCAAGGTAGACGACATTGGGATCGACATAGTGGGCCGATACTTGTAGGGGGTTAAGTCACGGCTACAGTCGCAAGCAGGTTTACGAAAACAACTTGGAGCCCATGGCCATGGCGCATTGCGCGGCGCGTGACTGCAATCTCATTTTGCTGTAGCACTGGCCCCGCCCGCCCGGGTTGTGTCTGGGGTGAACCAACTGTCAAAATCAAAGTTCAGTCAAACGAGCTGCAAGACGCTGAACCTACCGGTGCTTAAAGCTTCGATCAGCGCATGAACTTGACTTCGCAAATCACCGGTTCACTGATGGACTGCGTACCACCAACAGTGAACACGCCACTATCAACAAATACTTGTCCAAGACACTAAGCTTATTGATTGAGTCTGTACTCGATTATCTACTCTCGTGTGAGCTAGGCTGCGTCCTGATACTGTAGCTACTAGCTATATGACAGTGTATGAAACTCAATACGCCTTCTTCCTAATTCGAAAGCTGAACAAATAGCAATAAGACTTCAGAGTAATGCAAGAAGAAAACCAGTACCTCTCTCGGATATATTGCCTAGTTGTAGCGCCTCTCGTCCTTGAGACGGTAAACAAAAGCCTCTGGTGACAGGTGTTATAAGCAGCGATCCAGCAGGCCTGTAATGTCTTACTTCTCTTGTGAACACGGTGGGATCCAACGTCCTCGCGCCCTGTGTCGCCGCTTTCGTCGGTTGATTGAGCGATGCAGGACTCAGAGTCATGGGAGTTAGTGTTTCTCTTGCGAGACCCAATATCCTCGCGCCCCATGTCGCCGCTTTCGTCGATTGAATGAGAGATGCAGGACTCAGAGTCATGGGAGTTAGTGCTTCTCTTGTGAGATCCAATATCCTCATGTCCCATATCACCGCTGTCACTGATTTCACTTTCGTTGATTGAATGAGCGACGCAGGACTCAGAGTCATGGGAGTTAGTGCTTCTCTTGCGAGACCCAACATCCTCGCGCTCCGTGTCGCCGCTTTTTTCGGTTGAATGAGAGATGCAGGACTCAGAATCATGGGAGTCGGGGCTTCTCTTATGAGACCCAATATCCTCGCGCCCCAAATTACCGCTGTCACTGATGTCACTTTCGTCGGTTGAACGAGCGATGCAGGACTCAGAGTCATGGGAGTTAGTGCTTCTCTTATGAGATCCAAGGTCCTCGCGCCCCGTGTCGCCGCTTTCGTCGATTGAATGAGAGATGCAGGACTCAGAGTCATGGGAGTCGGGGCTTCTCTTGTAAATGAAGCCGTCGTTGTCGACCTTGACATCAGGTGACACGGGCGTATCGCCAAAGTCAACCGAGTCAAGTGCATCAGGTGCATCAGGTGTATCGGGCATCCCAAGCCTGGGTTTGAGATGATCAACGAGGTTGGAGGAAAGGTCCTGGGGCCTAGCCAAAGCTGCATAGCATATCAGCACCGACAAGAAAGGCACGAGTCCTCGGTGCTCACAAGTACGTTTTTTGACCAAATTTGGTGTCGGATGTGATGTAGCAATAGCAGCAAATGTAAGGAGTGTGGTGAAAATGAGTGTGAGTTGCATGGTTAGAATCGACAACGGGTGTTTGGGTGCTAGAGACCCTCTCTAGTCAAAATCGCGAGGGCTTTTATTTGCCACGAACTAAATTGTAGTATCGTAAGAACCACCTAGGTTCATCGGATGCCTTCTGATTTGACGCTTACCGGACATGTTATATTTCGGATCTGTGGCTGGCTAAGACAAACTTCACCTAGTCGTAAGAACCACCTAGGTCCATTGGATACCTTCCGACTTGACGCTTACCGGACATGGTATAGTATTTTGGATCCGGGGCTGGCTAGAACGAACTTTACCTAGGCTGTTACCACTCCGAAACTGTTCGGCTCCTATAGCGAGGGTGAAGATCTCGAACATGGACCGACAAGCCTTGGCGGCCGAACGGTGGCGGAGTTCGAGAGTGGTAATAAGTCACTAGTACACACTCGAACTTCAAATCTCTTCTCTTCGGTTTCCGGTACTGTGTAGTGCCCTGTTAGCATCCCGAAGTACTAGGGGGAAACACAAGTCCGTGAACAGTGAACACAACTGTCGAGGGATTCGCTGACCTCGCTGACCTGGTTCATGGGAACACGTTCCATTCGAATCCAACTAATCCAACTTCGTCTAGCTCGGGTCGGTGACATGATCTCATCATGGGTTGGGCTCGACCGAGCGTTAGCTCAGGGTGGGACGCAAGGAGATGGATCCGCTGGGAGGGCGGGACAACTGCTTACGGATTCGATTACGCCTAATGACTCGCTAGTTAGCTTCACACTAAGGAGTTAGAACAGACGCAACGATGGGATAACAATTAAAAGATCAGTAGTACGAAGTGATGGACGAAACTATGGAGTACTGGCAAACGAAGGCATTGTGGAACTACAGGGAGTGGTGGGTGGGTAAGAGAACGAATGTCCACTCGAGTGGGGAGCAGTATTATTAGCAGGTGCGACGAACTCGACGATGTATAGAGGGAAAAAAACACAGCGGCGCTACCGCGCATTGGTGCTGGGATCTTCCGGCAGGCTGCACCTGTGTATGATAATCATTCTGCTACAGTCTGCCACTAGAGGCCGGGTGGGTGACATGCAAAGGAAGATATCGGGTGGTGTGTTTGATCCGTTAATCATCGCGGCTATCTATTCCTGCTGCGCTGGGAGTTACTGGGAGTCGGCTCGGAGTGAGTGTAGGAAACCAAAAAGAAGTTGACACCCATAGATATCTCCAGCCTTGTAGTGCCATGACGTGCTTTTGACATTCAGTTCATTCTGTGCTCTACTTCGTGTGCTAAAATTGAGTGTCATTTGAGAGATATACGTGTGGTTGTTGGTGGAGTGGATGATAGACGGTGATAATCCGTGAGATACCCGTGGATACCCGTGCAGATCTCTAGATACAAGTGTAGATCATTCCAAGGATAAGTGATGCGCACTAGTTGTCCCATGGCCGTCAAAGGTGCTGCACCTAGGACCTAAGCGGCGAAAGTAGTGGTTGTGTGTACGAGACTCCTGTGCGGACAAGAACCACGTGAGGTCGTGCGTACATCCGTTGGATGCGGCTATGCTGGGGTCCAAAGGAGGCGATGTACCCATAAATCGATAGACATAAATCATATTACCTACCTCGCATTTCACCTCTCGCAGCACAAACTAACGCTCCTACTCTTCAAGTTTCATCCGCTTCCTAACAGGGGTATCCGGATGCAGAACCTGTGACGCAGCTGACGGGACGCGTTTCTTAGCACTTATGCCCCACCCGCTCTTTCCAAGCAGCAACACATCAGGTGAAGAGTTTGGGAGCCATATTTCCTCCTCAGCATCTTCGTCTTCCTCCATTACATTGCCCAGGCTGTCAGAGGAGAAGTCAAGTAAAGGGACAGATGCGCAAGGAAGCTCGTTGTCATCTGTGTCGAGCAGCGTAAGACTCGAGCTCCGTGCAATCAGAGGACTCGAAGATCGCCCTGTGAGGTGTGGACTCGAACTCCGAGCTGATGCATTTGACTTGGCACGGGGAGGCGGTTTCTTCACAGGCGTTGCTGTTACGAGGGTGATCGCTGGCGCTGCGCGAGATTGGGAGGATTGGGATTGGGAATCGGTGCGCCCGATGATACGCTTAGCGGTTGCAGCAGGCATCTTCGTATCTTTCTGTGACACCGTAGCTGTCGACCGATCTTTCCCCTTCCATGTACGAGACATACTGATCTGCCGGGTTAGCGCACGCTGAAGTGCCTTGTCCTGCGTTGCGCCTACGCTTGCTGCACGTTCCTTTTCTTTTTCCTGGGCGAGCGAAATCGACAGCGAGCGAGTGCGAGCAGGGGCCCCTGTCGTCATACCACTTTGTGAGCCTGTTGCAGTAGTAGATGATGAATAATGAGAACGTGACCCATGAAGTGATTTCCCTGTAGATGGTCCAGGAGAAGGTGGTTCGTCAGAGAAGGGAGAGTTGGGGAAGAGTTTGGAATGGAGGAGGGCACATTGTTCCGGGAGCTTTGATTTGAACCTGTAATGATTGGGTGATTAGTATCATGATTTATATATACGTAAAGCGGCCACTCACAGTGGTTCAACCACGTCCTCGCAAAACTTTTGCATCCAGTCGCATTCATTCTTGTTGCGGGTCGCAATCTCAGTGCGAGAAGTATTCATAAGTGATACGAGCTGCCACATTGAGAGTTTGTCCATGAAGGACTCGAGACGCTCGATAGAGGACGGGATGATCAAGTTTGGTTTTTCCTTTTTCTTTTTCCGTAAACGGCTGGGTTTGACGGGCGAAATAAATGAAATATTATCCGTGGGTGGTACTTCGACAGGCGGTAATGGGGTGCAAGGTCCAGGAAGAGAGAGTTTGAGGAAATAAAGCAGGATCTGAATCTGAACTCTACAAAGTCGTTACGATGCGCTCAAAAGCGAGGTAAAAGCACTTACTCACGCTGCTCCATGCACTCGAGCCAACCTAACCTCCATTTCTCTTCTAGCATCGCGTTGTCTTCTCCGGTGAGGTGTTCGTTACGCTCCGCGCTGCCATCGACTTTCTCGTACCCCAAAGCATACCACATCATGCTCTCTTCTGCTTCGCCTGCACCGCCTCCGTCTGCAAGAATCTGAGGAAGCTCATTATGGTACTTGTTCGCGGCTGCGCGAAGAGAGAGAAGAAGAGGTTCGATAAAGGTGTGAAGAGGGTGTGGCTGGTCTTCTGCGAGATCCGGAGTACCTCGAATGCGGAGAAGAGATGGAATAAAGAGAGAGAGCGGCATGATTGACTATAGTGTTGTTAGTAAATATATAGAACGGTTAGAGAAGGACGTACATGAGGAAGCCATAGAAAGTGAAGGTAGGTGCGCTGGACAAAGAGGGCTGGGTCTGCTGCATCATGGTCTTGAAACGGGTAGTCTCTGCTCAGACTCTTTTCTTGGGCTGCAGTCCATTTGAGTGAGGCTGGCGTGTGCAAAACAAAAGCTTGCTGAAGTGACATCGGGGATTCTCAGTGTAGTAGGTCAATGAAACGCGTCCCACGTGACCGCGTATAGTTCATGTTCTTGTTCGGTAATTTCCTGGCGGGAGTGTCTTGCCTCATCGATAGCTCCACAATCCTATATATGTATGGTGAACAGTCTTCTCGACGATAGTCCCAAGTACTATCACGCTGCGTTTGTTTCTCACACACTAGGTTGGGTATTCGAATATGCTCGTCTTTTTACCAAAGTAGATTTCACGAGACATCGTAGCTATCTGGAATTTTCGTTGCGTCTAACCCAATATAAATACCAATTCTGGTTTACATAAAGTACTAGTACAAGTTGGGACTGACGTAATCTCGGCTCCAGATCCTAGGCAGGCGGAGATTGAAAGCGGAGGCAAAAAACATACACCAAAACACACGCAACAGACCTGCCTAGGATCTGGTGCATTTCGTAGAGAAGGGGGTAGATCATAGCCGGCCCAGAGTAGTTACTGTAGCGGTACTTTACTTACCACCTCAATGGACGACTTCAAAGATCTTTTCTATCCTGAGTTGGAGTCCTTGGAAGATGAGGATGACTGCAAAAACACTTGCACCTGCCTTGGATGTCTCTCGTTACACGAACCTAGTGATAATGAGGCTACAATGTCTGATGAAGAACCTGAGCCACAGGCTCCCATACAACTAGAGCAAACTAGACGGAAAAAGTTGGCGCTTGAAGTACAATCCCTTGTGCCCAAAGTGCTCAAGATTCTCGACACAATCTCGGAGCAGGGCATGACACTGTCCCTCTTCCTTGATGCTCTCAGCTGGGGGGACTATGATGAGTACGTGTTTGTTTGGTTGTGCAAGTAATGGGAGCATGAAAGGCATTGTTTTGCCGGTGCCGGTACCAGCAATGACTGAACAGTTGAGACCTAACAGAAGTGCCTCCAATGATTATCGCATGTGTCGCAACAGAATCGTACTTGTGTGCCTTAACAGCGCCGTCGCGTGCTTCTTGCAGAATTCTGAGGGATCTTGCAACTTCGCAGTCATGATCAAAGTTTGTTCTGGAATGTACAGGGGGCATCAGTTGAAGAAGACACCCAAAGGGGGTCAATGCGGAACGGAGACACTTGAATTGGTATATCAACAAACGCGATGACGAGTGCATTTCATAGCACATGTGATACGACATACCCCCTTCTACATGAAATGCACCAGACATTCTAGGGCACACTCACACACACAAATTGAACATGTTTTTTGCCTCCGACTTGAAACTCCGCATATGTGGCTGTGCTACATTCTCATGTGCCCTAGAACGTTGGGAACGAGACTAGGACTGACGATGTTCTAACACCCCTTGTGAATCATTGCCTATTTTACAGCTGAAAAACAATAAGAAATGATAGTAGAAACAAAGAGCAGCAATACCTCTCTTAGATACATGTTAGTCATCACACCTCTTGGTGTTGGACTGGTAGCCAGAAGCCTCTGTTGTGATGAGTGTTACACATGGGTGATTGATTAATCCACCAGGCATATAATAACTTACCTCTCTGGTGGACATAGTTAGGTTCAGCATCCTCACGCCTAGAAGGCGAGTCGGAAGAATCGGGAGAGTCAGGGGAGTCGGGGCAGTCGGGCGAGTCGGGTGAATCAGGAGAGTCAGGAGAGTCAAGTGAACCAGGCGAACCAGGGTCCCTAGTATCAAAAACAATGATGTTACAGGGAAGGCCGTGCTGAGCCAAAGCTGTATAACATATCAGTATCACTTCCACTGACTAGAGTGGCGTGCAAGTGCTCACAAGTACAATCCATCCCCATTTCTGGCATGGGATATGCCACAACAATAGTGGCAAAGGTGACGAGCACATTGTGAAAATAAGTGAGGGCTGCATGCCAATCAGCAAAAACTAAGCTGGCTATATATTACTATATACTTCACATAGACCGTGTAGCTCTGTTGTTACCTGCCCTGTATATAGAATGTGAGGTGACTATATAGTGCTATATAGCGCACAGTAGCATCTTGTAGCAGTAGCTACAGGCACTACATGTACTACCACAAGAATAAACATAGTTGAATGCCAAAAGAAATGTCAATCATCAGATGACTAATTCAATTTCACATATTATAAAGTACAATTGGTAGGAATTGAACCTGACACCTTGAACAATTATAAGTGCATCATTTTTACAACTAGGCTACAAGACTACTTGTATATTCTTACAATAAAAGAAATATATACCAATGCAATATGACAATATTGCGAAAATTCCATCAAGTCAATTATCACATGGTTCAATGAGTCCAAAATGGTGGCATGTTAGAGCACCTTCCTTTTGATTGCAACAAGTCTCTTGCTCGACACGCCAACTCCGCTGCAAGGTGGCAAGTGATTTTTATTTTAACGAGTTCATTGATGGCGAGATGTTTGGTGTGTCTGTTATAAGTAGTTTGTAGACAGGTTACTATCACATGAGCGCTGTAGCTGCCTGGAGTGACCTGTAGCAAATATTTCTCCAGCTGACTCCTGTAGCGGTGACTTTGGGCTATATAGTACTATGTAGTTGTATGTAGCTTGAAGGGTGCCTATATAGTGCTACAGTGGCTACAGTGGCTATATACATAGCTCTATATAGCTGTCACCAGGGCTCCCAGGATTTTCAGTGTTTCCTGATGAGTGGTTGGAAGCGAGAATGAGGGCTATTCAAAAGCTTTCTTGGCTTACTGCTTTTATACTTTATCTCGCAACATTCTTTCGAACTACCTGAGGAGAACAGGAGGTCAACTTCAATCAACACATGAGCGCTCAACTATACGCGGACATATCATAGGACCAAGAGGATACCCATGGTTATGATAATCAGGACTCTTTGTTTACAAGGCGTCATGATATGATCCGAGCCTGTTCTTGCTGGTATGAACTTCAAATCCCTTCTCTTCAAGTTGCTGTATCGATTGCTTATGCGAGGCCCTCATGAGATAATTCGACCCAGTCAGACCACTGCAGGTGGAATGGCAAGTAGACTGTAGCAAGGCAACACCTGAGTGGCACCATCTAGATTACTAATAAGTAATTATGTCAGGTACCTGAACCCTTTACTAACTAGTAGCATGTAGCTACGTTCTACTATACCAGCAATAAAACCAGCAAACCAGCATTACCTTGGCTATTCAGTGTCCTCATCTTACTTAATATGACCACGGCTGTTCTCGGCAGCAATGAGTCACCCCCACCTAATCCTGAATAGTGTCATCGACTGTTTCCCACTGTTGTCACTGCATCCGCTTATCACCCGCTTAGCTGCCCATTGTCCCCAATGATGAGCTCAACATATGGCTTATCTGCACCTGTTTCTCAGCAGTTTTTTTCAGGACTTCTTTCTAATGGTTCTGTCTCATCTCCTCCTCCTCGTCACACCCTCAAACCAGTGGTAATGTATGATATATAACATCTATCATGAAATCTTACTGCTTCCGCTTACTAATGATATCACCTGTAGAGCTGCGCTCATTATCTCTGACGACCAGCTCAATATACGGCTCATTCCTGCCATTTCTTGGTGGATTATTTCTGGAGGTGTTTATAATAGCGGGTGCTAGTGTTTTTGTATTGAACTCGTTGTATTTCAGGCCTTCACTTATCATGTATTCAGTATTCTAGTGTTCTGACATAGATGATGCTGTACTGAGATAGTGACTAATCCTCAACTGCTGCACCATGGTCCTGCACTGACTGCATCTCACCCTTGTCTTCCTCCTCACTCTTGTCCTAGGACCTATTGCTATCCTCAATCACTGCTGCACTTTTACCCTCGTCTTCCTCCTCACTCTCATCCTGGGACCTATCGCTATCCTCAATCACTGCTGCACTTTTAGCAGCACCAGCTGGATTCTTTTTCATGGTCTTGCGAGGCTTGTAGATGGACTCACCATTCTTGGCATGCTCACGGTTGCTTTCCATGCACTGCTCCAAATCTTGTTCACTCAGTTTAACCCACACACAGCAGCCATTCACCAACGCATTAAGGAGAGCCACTAGATCTTCATGGTGCCCAATCTTTCTGGGATTTTGAAGTTGTCCATACGTCCACCCTTCAAGAATGATCCCATGCTTCTCGACAATTTTGCTCTCATAGTTATCATAGTTCATATTGATCTTCTTCTTTGACAGGTGGTTTTTTGTATTGATTGCATCTTGGCACCTATCAGCAAAGTTTGAACAGCAACCAATGGTACTTACTGAGACCCTCTTGAATATTGGTTCAACATAGACTAATAAGCTTTGTAGGAGACAGGTGTTGTGTTGCATCAGCATGGTTATCTAGTGAAGGTGAGTATTTTGTTGGCTATGGAATGGGCTCACGCACTTACCAAAGTTCCCCATCACCCATGATTCAAACTTCAGTGCAAAGTGCTTTGGGTCTAGATGGGTGATTTCCTTGATGAAAGACTTCACTTTAGGTGTGTAAAAAATCTTCAACTTGTGAAAGTGCTCAACATCCCCATGAACGGCAACATAGAAGCCCTCAACTCCCATTCTAGCCGTGATATTTTGCCACTATCCGTCCCTAAATTAATGAAGGGAAGAGACATTTTCGAAGTACATACTTCTTGTTGCATGTTCTCAAACATTGCACTGACTTGTTTTTGTAATGCCTTTGGATTTGAACACACAATTTGATGCAGTTCTTGCGTAAATTGAGGACATGGTGCCTGAGTTTTTCCTTTTGAGATGCAGAGAGGCGTAAATATTCAGCGGTGAGATCTTGCTGATGTTCTGCGATGAATGGTGGGAGTTTCCAGCATCATCTGGCAGGAAGACCTGTGGGGTATTGGTTTTCAGAAACCAACAAAGGAACACACTGATACCTTCATTCACTTCGTTTAGCTTTTGACTTGTGAATGCATTCCATGCGTTTGGGCTCCTGTGCTTGTGCAGCCCTTGGTTATTGTATAACTGAAGCCGAGTCCATTTAATGCTCCTGTTTTGTGGCCAGGTAAGTGTTGAGAGTGTTATGCAGATCTGTGCCCTAACCGTTTGTATTTTTCCGAAATAGTGGCTGCTTCCTCTCAATATGCTTCGCATGCATCATTGATAGCATTGGAAAGGTCAACGGCCTTGTCACAACACAAAGCCTTTTGGGCTGACATAAGCTTTGGCCTACTGCACTTGACTTTGGGAGTGATGCTGACAACTATTAGCCACTATGATGAATGGACGAGAGGTAGGACAAGACATAGTATGGATCAGTGCACTTTTTTTTCAAGATTTTCGGTTCATAAAATGTATATACTATAAAGGTGATGGAGATCAATATTTTAAACTTCAGTATCATACTGTTCCTAGCCTAGCCTAAGTTGAGTTACTGGATATTTGACCTTGTCACCACAAAGACAGATTCTTGTCCTGCAGCAACTGAGTCAGAGTAAGATGGAGGGGCAGTATCACTAGCACCTGACATTTGAGGTCTCCCATCACGAAGAAGTGGATGAAAGGCCCCAAGTCCAAACTCTGGGTAATCATGCGACTGTGTAATGAGAATTACACAACGACACTTGTCGTAAAATCGGAGGCATTGGCACTAGTGTTAGGCATCACATGGCACACAGCATCTGAACCTTCTGAGATGGAGCCAATAGCAGAGTCCTGCTTCAAAAAATTCATCAGTGACGTACAGAGTAACTGATCAAAATGAAATACCGCTGTGGTACTACCATCATGGCCTGTCACTCTAAGTCTGCTACTCGGCTCAATGTCACTGGAACGAGTAGAAATGACTTATGATCATGTCAGAAGTTCGACAGAAAGTGAGTTTGAGGAACTGGACACATCCGATACTATTGAAATTGAACCTATGAAAAATTATGCTGAGTGAATGTTAATTATCACAATCACTCACTCATGGTGGTGGTAGGGCTGCTGAATCTCAGTGGAATGATGAGATGCTGTGAACAAAAGGTGAGCAATGTACAGGAATGGAATAATGAAACTCACATTGTTGATACATGAAGTAAGTTTGGTGGTTTCTTGTGCAGGAACTACAGAGTGCTGAGGTGATGTCATGTGAGTATGTGGCCCATGAGCAGTCCTGCGGTGTACAGCAGATGGTGCAAGGATGAACTCCTGGGCTGGGGGAGGACCCAAAGGATGAAGATTGGTTGTCTGTTGGACGGCCTGTGGTGCAAGGATGAACTCCCAAGCTGGGGGAGGACCCAAAGGATGAAGGTTGGTTGTTTGTTGGATGGCCTGCACTTGTGGTTCAGTTCAATTGTGAGCATGTGGGGAGGACACAAAGGTCGAATATTGGTTGTTTCTGAGGCAGTCTGTACTTGGGGTTGAGTTTGATTACGAGTATGTGCATGCCTGCGGGTTGTCTTAGGTATTCTACTTGAAGGTGTGATGATTGACATGAGACTGATTGGCAAATAAGTACTGAGCTTTGAATTTAACAAAGATCGGATTCTACAGTCGCAGAGGAATGGATTGAGACTATCACAATGAAGCCAAAGGGAATGTTCATACTGTTGTATTAGGGCCAACAGCAAGATCAAGCCATGACATTGTTGCAAGATGTCTTGCAGGCATTGTGAATGTACAATTTAAAGTGTGAGGTTCAGCAGCAGGTAACATTGAGAGAGGTGATAGAAAGTAAGCTGTGAGCCTTGAGGCGCCAGTGAAGCTCACTTAGCAAATTGTGTAAATCATTATGATGCATTACAAATGGACTTGCGGTGGCATCACCTGCAACCAACCTCGCTTCAGGTACAGCTCAGATGCAACACAGAGGTACAAGTCCAAATCCAGATCATTATGATGTGTTACAAATGGATGTGTGTGGCACGAGTCTGTGTAGATATGCAAGCCATTAAGACATACTGACATCAATACAAATATCATTTCTACATCTACTCAGACATACAAGCATCAAGACGACTAGCTTCATCACAAAGAGTGTTATCCTCATCCACAAGAATTGTAGAGGAACCACCCAAGTCAGATAACACCAATTCAATGCCATCATCGCCATCCCTCCTTTCCTCAGCCACCTGAATGAGACCACTGTAACCTGGTAGATTGTAAACCGCTTCAAGTCTAGTGCGGTGTATATGATTCACCCGACAACGATCCTCAAATCAATGCTGAATTTCATATGCAAGTGCAGGATTTGATTCCAAGAGTGAGCATGCAACTGATGAGAGATGTACATCTTTGTCGTCTACCCATCTGTGAAGCCAAGCTACTTCAACATTCAACCAAGTGATCTCCTCATGTGCATGTAAGACTTTAAAATACTTTGTGACGATTTCACGATTAGTTTTTGAAGCCCAAGGCTTGGAGAGTAGATCTCACCGAGAATGCTTCAATAAGTCAAATTCCCCCAACCATGCATAGGATGCAACTTTATGGTACTCTAGAGTAGGTCATGGCAGGTTTTGCAGAGGTGCAAGATTGTTGTATTTGTCCAGTGCCACACATATGGCAGCAGAACGTCGAGCAATAGCGTTGGAGATGTGTTGACGTAATTTGTACCCTGTAGTCGACACCTGAATCAGTACTTGTTCAGCATGCTGAAAAAATGTACCAGTCCCTGCAAGATTTGCTTTTGCTAACTCGAATAACCTCTTTACCACCAATCCCTCGAGCTGCTCAATGATGCAAATGAAATGGCAATTCGTTAAAAGACCAAGTGCATGCTTATATTCCTCTTGTTCTGGGGTCCAACACTCGGTAATACCCATCTGTTGTTCAAGGTCATCAACTGCATTCATGTCAAGCACCAACCTGCGGTATGCTGCACTGCGCTCTGCCTCTCGAGCTCGTGCAACAGTTTGCACACTCTTTCGAAGCCCTTGAGTTGGTGTGAAATTGGCGAGAGTATATGTCAGGAACTGAACAGATGTTGCTCTCCCGTGTGCTGCCCTGAAGATATCATTGATTAAACTTAGTTTCAGATGCATAAATTAAAATTAGAAAAACTTGCTCCAAGCGTGCCAATGTCTCAAGGGCTTCAACATATATCATTTTCTCGACATCATCTTTGGTCTCAACTGTGAGACTCTGCAAGTACTCCGATTCCTCAGCATTCCACTTTACGAAATCTGTGTCACTCAACCCCAGTTGCACCTTGAGCTCTTGCACTGCAGGTGTTAGCTCGTTGATGATATGGAGTGCCTGCGTGTAGTTGTTGTAGATGAATTTACCTACAAAAAAGTTATTGGCGCAACAAATCTTGACTCAAGCAAAAACCTACTAAGTTCCAAGTACTTATCTGAGTCCCATTGATCAAAATGAAGCTCAATGAACTGTAACCAATGAAAGTATGATGCGTGACGTATGACGGGCGCTATGGCATTAGAAGCGGAGAAGACTCGTTCACAAGTTTCCAAGTCTTCGATGCCAAGACCATTCTGATAGAGCAGATGAAATTGTAGTTGACATTGTCGATTGTGAGTGTGACCATGGAATGAATTGACTAGGAAGCGATGGTGATTAGTACTGGCCTTCAATGAGATTGAACTGGCAGCGACAGTTTTGCCATATGAACACCCAATATCATAGCCCGTGGCACCATTTGGACCATAGACATCAATAACCTTATTTGTGGTGGCTAGCGCATATTTTGCACTAAAAAAAAAATTAATACAACATGCACAAGAGTGATAGATACTTATGGCATACAGTTCGCCGCTCTTACACATCTCCACCAATGTCTGTACAATGCCATGATGACAGGTGCTGACAAAAATTCCCGTCTGATCGAAGACAGTGATGGTGTTCTCAGTTACGGTATTGGCCATCTTCCAATTCTCCATGCATGCAGAGTGGTCACTAGCAGCAGTGGGAGAGCCATCAGTAGTGATGTGAGTGCCTGGGCGCATCCGAACATTGTCCTTAAACAACTCAACTTCAGAAGGAGGGATCAAGTATGTTGATGGAAAAACTCATTCATCTGCATGGCCAGATCACATAGATAAGCATCAAATGCAATGGCAAATTGATCTCGGAATGATTGAAAGTAAGTACACTGCTAAATATTAGTAGCATAGGACATGGGGATACGAATCAACGCACATTAAGAAGAGTGCCATGAAATATAGACCCTGGTATATCACTTGTTTGAACGCCCCAGTACTTCCACGACAAAAAGGCATCAACCAGGTCCGTCATTTGACAGGACCATGCAGCATGCATCTGTTGATTGCATAGGAGACGAGTATGAGGGGCTCGATGTTGCAAATTCTTCCTGCCTTGCAAACTAATACATTGTGAGATAGATGTTAAGAGAACGAAGGGCTTGACTTACCAAAAAATTACTTGTGCATGAGTGGCACTGAGAGCATCTTGTCCTACAGTTGCAACATCACCCTCATCAGCCTCAGCCCCATTCTCATCATAGTTGGCATGGTCCCAATTCTCATACTCAGGAGAACACAGAGTCCCTGGCTAATGTCCAGCCAGTTTCGAGTGCTGCCTCTGCAAGGAGTTGCTGTGTCTTGGCTGTTAAGTCTACATAGAGTTAGAAAAGATCATTAAAAGAATAGTAGGTGGACATACGGATGTTGGTGACACGTTGCTCTTCTTCAAATGCTAACTGATCCCTCCGTACTTGAGTCAGGGTTGCTCTGGTAGTCTTTGACAATCCCATCTCGAGAACACAAGTCTCACACACCCACATTATTGTGGAGAGGCATTTCCGCTTGCCAGTATTCATTGTCAAACACCTGCTACAGTACTTGAAGGTTGAGAGGAAGGGACTGTGGGAACACTCACCTTGCACACTGTGACTTATTGTTTGATGATAGCAGCATGTAGTAGAGTCATGGTCTAAGACATATAAGAGATTAGTCAGTAAGATTTTGTGATAGACATTGTATATCATACATTACCGCTGGTTTGAGGGTGAGACAACAAGGAGGAGATGAGACGGAACCATTAGAAAGAAGTCCTGAAAAAAACTGCTGAGAAACAGGCGCAGATAAGCCATATGTTGAGCTCATCATTGGGGACAATGGGTAGCTAAGCGGGTGATAAGCGGATGCAGTGACAACAGTGGGAAAACAGTCGATGACGCTATTCGGGATTAGGCGGGGGTGACTCATTGCCACTGAGAACAGCTGTGGTCATATTAAGTAAGACGAGGACACTGAATAGCCAAGGTAATGCTGGTTTACTGGTTTTATTGCTGGTATAGTAGAACATAGCTACATGCTACAAGTTAGTAAAGGGTTTGATCAGGTACCTGACAACTACTTATTAGTAATCTAGATGGTGCCACTCAGGTGCAAGGCAACCCGTCGATAAATATTGATAAAACCAATTTGAACATTAGTGGCATTCAAAGTAATTTCCTGAAAACTCAGTAAGCTCGGTAAGCTCCGTGAAACATCGGCTAAAGTATCTTGAGTTTTGCTGAAGTTCAGGGTTAGTCAAGTACAGCGAACATCGGCATGTCGTCAGAGTGTGAAATGTAATGCCTGCCCTATGACCACGACTTCGTCGGTCTGCACGCCTGCAGACCATCTCTCAAAACATCAATGTACCATGTCGCAAGGACAACACTGGGAAACGAATGGACCCACCAACTCGTGGAAGGGGGAGACGGGGAAGGGGAGGGGCTAATATACAAGACTCATCACCAGCCACGATTTTGTGGTATAATGTCCCTATGCGCACCAACAAGCTCGTCGATTTCCTCGTCAAGCATCCGCCAGACTGTGCCATATTATTTGCAACCGAGAGTAAGAAGTCCAGCAACTATCACACTGACTTGGGCTGTGCATCAGGCAAGGACAAAGGGGAGATCTACAGTGTGATTGCAAAGGTAATCTTTCATGACGATGCTATGTATGGGAGTTGGTATGCCACCAACCCCATCAAGTTCCATGACTCTGTGGCCAATCACATCGCATCGTAAGTACTTCTCCGTCTATCGCAACTGTGCTAACTGGATGATCTGAAGTCTACGGACTAAATTCCGCGATATTTGTGCCGAATTCGAGTCTACAGGTGCGGGCATCGTGCCAATTGACTCGGAGACGTCTGACAACTTACATCGTGAGTATCCCACTCATGTCTTATCAATACCGCTAACAAATTCATAGGTAAAATTGAGAAAGAATTTCCATGGTACAATGACCTCTGCCGGATATGGGGATCCAACCCCTTGTTTTCTGCCAAAACGAGCTCATCAAAACCAGGTGCTGATCACGCTGGTGACCTATTTGCACTAACTCGTCCTGCGGGAGGTTCGTGGAACCCTCCTTCAGACACCCATCCACAACTCAACATAATCATCCCTAACCCTGCCACAGGCAGTGCTGGTTCCCTGCAGCTCAATTACATGGTTCGTCCCTCAGGTCCTTCTACCTAACGCGCAGGTGACAACACTCACGTCCAACAAACGAACTATGCCCGCCCTCCTCCAAGTGTTGGAGGCAGCACAGCTGACTCCCCTGTGCAAATGCCTTATGTGCCTCTTCCCCAAAGTGGTGCTGCTACCCCCCTGGAACCAAACCACTCCCCTCAATATGCTCAGGGAGCCAGCGGCGGTGCTGCTGGCTCCCCCCCACAACGGGGCTTTTCTCAAGCTCCTGCAAGCAACTGTGCAGGCAGCACGACAAGCTCCCCCCTCCACTTCGGCCATACGCCCCTTCCTCCCAGTAGCCGGTCATTCGGCTGTGAAGATTATTCTCCGGCCCCCCAGGAATCTGACTATGACCCACCTTTCGATGATGGCCCCTTGCTCATGGTATGGGGGACCTTTGTATGGATGACACGGATCGTCGTGACAAGGAGAATGTGTATAATTTGGACAGCCCGCCCAAATCAAACAAGGCACGCGGAAAGAAGCGACAGCTACCTTCCTCTCCCACTCTGTCGCCTCCCAAGGCACCTCCAACCACGACAGTCGCAGCTCATTGAAGTCCCACATCAATCACATGATCATGCGCGAGAGCGCTTCTTCCGCCACCTCTTCATTGAAGGCTTCATTGCAACAGTCCAATCCGTCCTCCCCTCAGCAGGCGTCTCCGACATCCAAAACGTCGCCCTCTGAGAGACCGAGCAGCAGGGAGTCGGTGAAGAAGCATCTCCGAACGGAGGTTCAGGAACAAGTTGAGTTGTTGAATGACAACTTAGAGAGTGTGCACTCCGAGAAGCTCGCCTTATACCAGCTCAAGAACAAGCGCCTGATGGTCAAGCTCAATGCCAATCACCAACACAAGGAGCACCATTTCATACATGAGGAGCGTGCTCATCCATCAACAGCTGCAGGAGAGCAAGGACTAGGAGATTCATTTGTGGGAAGTGGATGCGAAGGCTCTTGAGTCAGAGAGGCAGGTGATGCTCTTGCGCATTGAATATGCCAAGATCAACAAGCCATGATGTTCCTGTGCGCACTTCATCATATGTATTTTTTTTGCCGTTTCTTTTTGCTACATGTTGTCATTTGTTCGCCACTATTTGATAATCCTACAACCTACTTACTAGCATGTATGTAGTACATTTGTATGTCAAAGCTATACCTGTTTCAACTTATCCTTGCCTATGCTGAGCATCTGAGTGAGGACTATCAAATAATTGATCCATCAACCTGGCCCTGTGTGCTTGACCAGGAGTGCCTGCATATGAGCTATCACCCACCACTTCATTACCATCTGGTCCTTCATATTCTGGATGCAGAGTATGTTTCCCTTCTTGAATGGCCCATCTGGTTGTAGGTTTGTTGTGTTTCTCTTCAAATTTGATGATCATGTTGTGAAGGATAAGGCAACACCTAACCCAATGCAGAGTAATCTGGAGGTCTTTCTGGGTCTGCATAGGGTGACGAAGCTCCTTAAGAGACTGAAAACGCCCCTTCAAAGCAGCAAATGTGTGCTCAACGCGGACACGGACCTAGATGAATTAAAATCAATGAAAATCAGTAAAAATTCCAAAAAATCAGCAGAAAAATTAGAAGATACCCTGGATAGGTGAATATTGAAGGTCTTCTGGTCCCTTGTCAACCTGCCATTCCGAGGCTTCTTGAAAGGTGGAATACACCACTTCTCAAGTGGATATCCACTATCAGCCCAAATCCAATGGTCATCAGGAAGAAGTGTGTCATGTTCCTGGTAAACACGAGTAGATTTGAAGGCATAAGCATTGTGTGTACTTCCAGGGTGACCAAGTGAATAGTCGGCAATGAGGAGATTATGGGGCATAATGATTGCCTGAATTTTTTATTAGTTTCTAACCATTAGAATAAGAGAGAAAAAATACCTGACAGTTGAGAGAATAGTTAGACTTCCTGTCATAAAATGCCTCACCATAAAGACCAGGTTTTTCATACAAATTAATAGCAGAGCCATCAATTGCAAAAATACCATTTCTCCACTCTGGGCAAGACTTGGCCTCAACATATTGCTGAGCACACTCAGCATCCTCAGAGTCAGGAGCAGGGAAATTGATGAATGTGTCATGCTGATCAAGGAGGGCAATCATCACACAGTTACTGCAATTGATTACCGATCCAACACTGACACCAGCCCATTGGCCCACATCATCTGGTGAGATAGTGTTGCTGTAATGGCCAGCACAGTTGAGAAATATAGCCAGTTGAATGGCAATGGGAAGTTGAGGGTTGTTTGACCAGTGTAGAAACAACAATACTGAGAGGAACAAATGATGCTCCTGACTGTATCTGTAAATAGTTGTAAGGTCGCGCGTTGCCTAGTCTGCGTTACTTGAGGAGACAAGTGCGTTCGACCCTAAAGGGGAAGCGAGTGGAGCAAAGATCTAGAGGTACACGCTGAAGTGAAGCGCGAGAAAGCGCAGGTGCATGCAAGGCACGAAGGTGCGGGAACGCGCGCGCATATTGCGCAAAGCATGGGAAAGTGCGCATGTGTATGCGGAAATGAGAGACTAAGCTTAAGTGATGATATAAAGCAAGTTAAGAGATGTGAGATGCGATGTGCTAATGAATAGATTTCTACTGCAACTTTCTAGGTATTAAGTATGTAAGTAAAGTTGGATGAAAAGGTAAGTGGTAAAAAGTTAAGTTGGAAAGTAAGTCGGTAATAGTATGTACTGCTGGCGCTTATATAGCACGCCTAAGTGCGGTCATGCGGAGCTGAAGCGCTACCAAGTAGGTATGTAAAGATATATATGAGTGAGAGTCCATGATAAAAATAAAGACGGAACAATATGCAATGAGAGAAATAGAAATATACGCACTAGAGGGCTTGGTGGACAGTGGATGGATGCTTCTGGATGGCTGGTGCTATAGGGCGCTCAAGCGCAGGAATGCACGCGCGTATACATCGCGAAGCGCGGGAATGGCGCGCGTTGTGCAAGAAAGCTGCGCCTCATATAGGAATAACTGTGGATAGCACACAGAGTGGTGCTGCAAGTTCGTGCTATGTACTCCCTAGTGAAAAGTGCCATATCACACCATGAGAGGCATGAGTCTCTACACCGGTTAGTGAAAATAGGGTGATCAGAAATTTGATCGAGGATATCATCGAAGATGTCAGGATTAACGCATAATTTCTTGCGGAAGAGGTGGTGCCGAGAGTGCCCAAAGTCATGAAGGAGCTGAATCTGGGGGGCTCACATAGGAGGTGCATCCGGTTTATGAAGAACATGGGCCCTAGTGACCTCATCGCGAAGAGCTGTGATGGTATCATGAAGGCGGTTGTAATGGGTAGTGAAGCCGTCAGATCCATCACTGGAAGAAGAATTTGAAAGGTCGGATAATTGTGGGGTAAGAGGAGATGGAGGAGTGACCATCAGATCAAGGCCAAGATCAGAATCAGATTCAGATTCAGATTCAGAGTCAGAGGAGTCGGAATCATAGAGATCATTAAGGGTAATGAGAGTACGCTCTAGCCTGGCCTTGGCTAAGGCTAGTTCAGCCTCATCCAGTTGCTCAAGCAGCTGATTGCGCATAGAGAGACGAGGCATCTGGGGATCAGGAGAGAGATAAGCTTATCACCTGCATCGATAGGGGACACTGTTGCCGGAAATGGCAACATTTTCAAGTGGAGATTCAATTTTAGTTGGTGGCTCTTCCGCTCGATGACGAGCACAGCGACAACGCTCTACATGCCTGACATCCACTGCCTGCACCTTTGTCTCGCACCCTCGCAGCGCACCCTCATCGCACGCCATTGTTTGCGCCCCACACCTTTGTCCTGCACCCCTTGTAAGAAAAACTCCACTTCCCTCCCATCTTCAGTACTTTGTTCAGCCCAACTGCTCTACTCTACTCTACCCCCACCTTATCTAACCCCATGAGCTACTGGGAAGGCATTAGTGGGGGCTGCGCAACTGGTTTTAGGATTTACCGTCCCACTATCAAACTTCCCCTAGATGAACTTTTAGGTAAGGAGTACGATGGCGAAGACAACCAAATGGCTGACGCCCCCATTGAGCAACTAGATGATACGAACGAGGATGGCAACAGCAACAGTAATAATGTCCCCACCCAACCTGAGGGCGAGTCCCTCCTTGGTGGGTCTGCTTCTGCTGAACAAGACATTCTCATAAGTGATTCTCATCAGCAGCAGCAACCACAGCCATCTACTCCTGATCTGTTCCTGGTCCCGCAAGTTTCTTCTCACTCTCATATCATGCTCAATCACACCTGCATACTCGTGGCAAGGACTGTTCCAGCAAGACGCCCACAAACCATCCCATACTAACTGTACAAACATCTGCCACTAAGAAGACTGGTAAAGCTGGACAGTGTGCTTCTGGGAGCATGAAGAGTCCCTCGTCTGCTGCTCCCTCAGCATCTGCTCTCAAGCACTCTGCTGCTGCGAGCGCGAAACATACTGCAACTGCGACGGTGCCTGCTTCCGCTACTGCAACAAGCCTTAATCCACTTCTCACCTTCGTCCTGTCCCTTTGTCTCACACCTTCATCCTGCGCCCTTTGCCTCACACCTTTTGTCTTGCACCCTTATCACATCGAATAGCTTTGTGTGCATTACATGTATATAACTATTGCTATTTCATCATGATGTTTGACCACATTTTTTACCACTAAGTCTCGTTTTGAAGTCCAACTGTGATGCCGACCTAAGCCGCACTTATGTCGACATTTCTTTGAATTCTTAATCGAAGTTTGCCGACGTTTCATGGAGCTTACCGAGCTTACCGAGTTTTCAGGAAATTACTTTGAACGCCACTATTGAATTTGTATAAATTGAATAGGCGCGCGCTTTGGAGTCGTCACATGACGACAAACAATGAAATTAGCTGGCGGGAAAACCCTGCTTAGACATTGCTTAGATAAGTAATTGTAACAATCAGCGCCCCATCTCATTTTGTTGAGAACGTTGACCTCTTCCTGTTTGCAGACTGAGGTTTGTCGTATCGCTGATACTAGATATACACTTTCGACTCGAAGGCAGACAATCGGAACCATCCAGATCGTCTGCTCAAGGCTTTCAGGATCAGACATTGTCATCAAGCTCTCCGTTCATTGTCCTTCGTCGCCTGTTTTTTTTTTGCTTTGTGTCACTTCAGGAAGCTTGCATGGCCATGGCTTACTGTGATGTGGGCGGGAATCATGCCTGGATGATATCCATATCTGTTCTTACCCGCCGACGCTTTCGGTTGTAATCAGAGCTCGACAGACGATGAAGACATATGTTGCCCCGTCTTTCGTGATGATGAACTCGATCTTTTTCGTGGACAAAGAACAACGCTACTATCTTGTGTGGCGATGAAGCCACACAATCAGGTATCCCCGAAACATAGCGTGTTGAGCAACCTTACAATTCAGGTTTCACTATGGGAGACAAACGCCTCACGCTACTTGGCATAGAGGACGATACTCCGCACGCCGAGTCCGCATTATCATCGGCGTATCAAACTGCCGTCGGCGACGAGGAGACGCCCGACAAGGTCATTCACCTCGCAGTTAGTCTTCGGTTTTGCAGTTGTGAGAGGGTCATTGGCACGTTGTAGTCGACGATCCTGAAACAACATGTTATGGAAGCTTCCTATGAGAAGACGTTCGAGAATTTGGAGGGTGATCGTGTCATAGTGAACTGTACGAAGACGGCCTCGCGGACACTTAAACTGTTGAACATGCTACGTGCACCCTGAAGAAGAAAGTGGCGCTCGATCGAACAAAGGATGGTTTTCATTCATATTACCAGTGTGTATGATCCAGCTGCGCCTGCATAGGACCGCAAGTTGGTTCCCTTTCGTTAACAAGTGCTTAATTTAAATTGCTCTTGTACTGTGTTTTGTTTGAGAAAAGGCCGTGCTATCATATCCGGATATTTCTTTATGCATGCTGCAGCGTGCTAAGTAATTGACACAGCCACTTATAGAAACTTTCCTTCTGCTCAGTCAATATTCAGTACTATCTACGCCTGTAAACCAAGAAAAGCCAGTCATGCATATGCTAACATCTATCAGGACATCAGATGGGAAGATCGAGATCATCGATCAACTGCTCTTGCCACACACAACAAAGTACGTGGAAATCACCTCTATCGAACAGGCCTATGATGCCATCAAAGACATGAAGGTCAGAAAGAAAAAAATACATATCCACTCCGCGGTTTCTGATGAATAATAGATTCGTGGTGCTCCGGCCATAGCATCGTTGGCATCGCTAGCTTTTGCTGCTTACATTCAAACCGGTCTCGATAGTGCTCAACCACCAGCCTTCCTCCTGTCACCCGAATCACTTTCCACACAGGTGATCCAGAAACTCGACTATCTCTCCGGCGCCCGTCCGACTGCCGTTAATTTAGGCGCAGCAATTCGCCGCCTGAAGGCTGTCCTTCAGTCTTCTATAGATGCTGGAAAGTCTGTCCCGCTGATCGCAGCAGACTTGATCAGCGAAGGAAAACTCATAGCCGATGAAGATTTCGACCGCAATAAAAGAATGGCAGAACATGGCGGTGAATGGCTTGCAGAACTTGACAGGGGATCTGGAGGCAGTGGTCAAGAACTTAATGTCCTCACCGTGTGCAACACAGGATCCCTTGCGACATCGGTATGGCATCTCTTAGCTAATGTATCCATTTTTGACAGTGATAAATGTGTTACAGGGCTACGGTACAGCTCTGGGGCTGATTACCTATCTCCACGAGCAAAAGAAGCTAGGTAAAGCATACTATACCCAAACCGCACCGTACCACCAAGGTTCCCGGTGAGCCGCCGATCGGTCGTGGTAACGCCAAGCTTTAGCTGATACTTCGTACCTCACAGCCTCACGGCACTAGAGCTCAAGACAATGCAGGTCCCCTCAGTAATGATCTGTGACACGATGGTTGGTTCTTTATTTCAACATCATAAGATCCATGCCGTCGGTAAGAACCATTTGAATTCAACATTTCTTTCGATCATCTGATCCTGCCCCTTCATAGCGGTTGGTGCCGACCGGATAGCGAGGAATGGTGACACTGCGAACAAAGTACGTCATACTTGTTAACCAAACTCAGAGTCATCAGAGGATATTATTACCCGTGCAGATCGGGACTTATAATGCGGCCGTACTTGCGGCGCGGCATAAGATCCCATTTATTGTTGTTGCCCCAATTAGCACTGTCGATCTCGATACCCCGGACGGTTCAAGCATTCCGATCGAGCATCGCAAGCCGCTCGAAGCTTGCCTCGTGCGCGGGGCTGTTCATCCCTTTGAATTTGATGTCGAAGGAAAGGTTAGGCAGGAAACTGTCATGATTACTCCAAGCGGCCTTGAAGGGATATACAATCCGAGCTTTGATGTTACCCCAGCTGAATTAATCACCGCGATTGTCACAGAGAAGGGCGTCGCAGCTAGGAAAGAGGGCGAGACTAGTTTCGATCTAAGTGGAGTTGTATGATCTTACGAGATACCGACTAGAAGTAAAATGTACTTGTACCCACGTGACGGATCAAAACTTCAGCTAGAAATTAGCTAGTGCTAATTGTTTCTGAGATACTCCAAATCGGTATTACAGTCTTTATTCAAAGTGATATCTAGAAATCACGGCTAATTGTCAAATTCTCTAGTTGAGCTGTTTTAAGAAATGGGCAGTACCGTACTAAAACACTCCGGACTCGGTTTTCGAGTATCCGATGGAGCAATTGTTGGTTGACGAAAAATATTTTCCCCTGCGTCGCAAGTCAATCTAGCTCATTAGGTGTCACTGACAGTTGTCCCGCTGTGCGGCCCGGGGTGGGCCAAGTACTACAACATGATTTCAACCCTTTGCCTGAGCATCGTGGGTCAGACTGGGATCATGGACCATCTGTGCACATTACCCATGGCACAACTTTGAGAGCAGTAAATTTACGTGCCGTGAATATTCCTTGATTTACCGCGGAGATTGGATGACGAGCTCTGATCTGGCTTATTCGACTAGGGTATAGTCCAATTCTACTAGTAATCGAATCATGTGTTCGACACAGATGGGACTTACTTCTCGAGGGCAATGACTGCGGTGCTCGATAACGTGTAATCGGCGGGAGTACATAAAGAGACTCAGAGAACATGAGTGCGCCCACCGCACATGACAACAAGGTAGTAGTACATGGATGATACTTTCAAATGATGACCAGACGAACATGACTAATAATAGCCACGACAGTAGAAATGGTTGTACACCGAATAAGGCAGGTGCTGTAATTAGAGAATCACATGCAAAGAGTGTTGTCTGGTAGTCCATGCTCGTCCCACTGCCCCTCCTTACTCGCAACTCATCATGATCGACTATCTTCTAGGCAGACCAAGTCCATCTTGGAAACGCACTCAGGTAGTGACAACTATAATCTGGCGCATCCCTTTGCTTATCAGTGAATGCAAGGTCTTTCTCGTCATCATCTTCTGGATTTGGCGGTTGGTGTACGGTAGCCCCAATGCTCCACGGTTTTTGTGGCTCAGAAGAGCTAATAGGCATCTGCGTGAGTGGGACATATACATGTTTATAGTTTCCAATTACATACTGCCTTTAGAACGTTTCTCGCCTTGGCAGATCATCGTTAGTACACTCACTGCGGTGTATGCTGCTCGAAATTTGGACAAGATTACTGGTTTTGGAGGTAAGTCTATGGAACGCTATCAGCCGTTTATTCATCTCATCTGGGATTGAAATCTCGCAGCGCCGGAACCTCTGGCTCGTTTGGTGAGTTTTTGACCTTTGTTGCTGTCTGACAGTGTCATAACCGTTGTAATGCAGTACTCGCCCTCATACTATCGTGCCACATGGATTGCGATTGGACTTGATGCTGGATTTGCTACTGCTATGTCCATACGCCCTAAATGGCTTAAAGACTTCTGCTCTATCTTATTCTCCATCTATTATATCATCTACGCTAATGAAGCTGACGAAAAGGTACTTCTTGTGCATGCCACTAATGTCAATACCATTCACAGAACACGTCCGTAGATCCGTAGGCACAGAGCTGTTCCGACTGTCGAGATGCTCAGAACCACCTGGGAGAAGACTACTAACCCATATGTAAGATATCCTCGTATTGCTTTGAGGCTCGTCTCAAAACGTTTCTAGCTCCGTTTAATTGCGCTGACGCCGCGAATGTCTCTATGCAAGAAATTTCTACTGCCAAGGCCTATCACGTCGACATACGACCGTCCTTTAAAGGTGCATGTGTACTTTGCGCCACCTGTTGTTCAGCTTCAACAAGCTACGGATCTCATACTTGATTTCCCGGGTGGTGGGTTTGTTGCAATGACTCCGGAACATCATGATGAGCGTCTGCGCTCCTGGGCGCTACGCACAGGCAAACCAGTCCTCTCCGTCGAGTACGGCAAGGCACCGGAATGTAATGTCAACATAATGTGCTGTTCTCACCTCACTAACGTATTCTAGATCCATATCCTTTTGCGATTGATGAATGCTTCGATGTCTATCGGGTCATTTCTATGTCCGCTGGACAATGCATTGACATGTCTGGTAAGAAGCTTAACATCATATTAACGGGAGACTCTGCGTACGTCGATTCATGTGTAGTTGCATACCACTCATTCAGGGTCATTCAGCGGTGCAACACTTGTGGTGGGCGTGATGACCAAGATTTTACAACACAATGCCGCGCTCCCCGCTTCTACAGCTCCTCTTCCCGCGCCTGTCGCACTCGTGCTGAGCTATGCAGCACTCGACTTCAATTTTACCTCGTGGATGTCTCCCGAGAACCTCCAGGTCCTGCGCTCCGAGCAATCCTCGGGTAACCTTCCGGGCATACATGAGTTAGCATCGCAGAAAGACCACTTGCAACACGTCAGCCCGTTAAGTATGGTGGGAGACCGCAAACATGGGACCGGACGCCGGAAATTACATAGACGCAGGAGCTGGAAAGATGCGCTATTGGATTTTACAGGGGTCGACGCTGATGCTGTCAGGTCGAAGCCGGTGCCAGCTCGGCACCACTCTACCTTGGGAATGAAGAAAAAAAGCTCCGTGGTATCGTTTGGAACGCGTGCTGGGAGAGATAGCGCGCGAAGCAATCCATTGCGACATGACGATAGCGGTTTTTGGGCGGGTTCTGAAAGCGACGAGGACGAGCCTGTGAGAGAGGAGGACCGGGCACTTGAGGATCGTGTGCGTTATGTGTACCCTGAATGCGTCAGCAGTGGCGACGGTGCACACTTGCATCAGAGGCTCGAGAAACAGCAGGCAAAACTTTCTGCAGCTGTAGCGGAGGCTGATAGTAAAGCGTCATCTACCAAAGGCGAAGACAAGAAACGGGAACTGATTGGCACCCGATTGACGATGACTAGCCGCACAGGGTATTTCCAGGATAGAATTATACCTCCCAGTATGGTAAGTTTGATTAGTGTTCAAATCCCATTGGGTATTTATTTAACTCCACAGATGCGGGCGATGGCCATCCTCTATATTGGTCCCCACCATAATCCGGATTTTGCCACTGATTACTTTATCTCGCCCATCCTCACGCCCGCGAAACTTCTAGCGCAATTCCCCCCACTTCTGATGCAATGTGGTGAAAAGGATCCATTTGTGGACGATACCGTCATTTTTGCAGGGCGTGTCCGGGAGGCCAAACGTGCGCGCAAGATTGAATTGGAGCTTGCACTTTCTGGGAAGAGTGCCCGATTTGGGGAAACGCTCCAAATGAGCTCTGCGCACCTGGAGAGCAGCGAGGAATTGGAGAAGTTGAGGAATGAGAGGGAGCAACTTGCGAAAGAGACGGAGGACGACTGGGTGCAGATGGTGTTATTCTCTGATTGGAGCCACGGGTACCTTCAGATGATGTCCCTGATGAGCGAGGCACGGGCTGTGGTGGAAGATTTGGCGGACTGGATGGAGGATGCGTTTGTGAGATACGGCGGTAAAGAGAAGGGCAGCCCATGCGGCAGGGTTGAGGTCAAGCCTGTTGATAATGGTGGAACAAAGAAGATCCGGTCACGGAGAAACTCGCCGCAATCATCGTCTGGTACTCCGAAAAGGGTGAATGGGGACGTACACGCCGATGGTAGCCCTAGCCCGTTTACATCTGAAACGGAGACGGACGACTCGGGTATCACGTTTGTGGCTCGAAAGCGGCTTACGATGACGCAGGGAAGCTCTGTGGGATCGACGCCTCTGATGAACTCACGGAGGGGATCTGGTGAGCTTGTTGAGAGTGTGTTGGAAGCGCAGAAGTATGGGCAGTTGCGTCGTGGGGATGTTGACACAGCGAGTAGTACGACGCCTCAGAGCGGTACGCCTCGTGGAGGGAACGGGAAGATAGGGCAACGGATCACGGAGAGCGAGTTATTGAGACGGAGGAGGTTATTGGATGCACATATCTTTGAAGGACCATAGTTAGTTGATTATAATTCAAGTTGCTGTGCACGGGTAGAAATGGGAACCGGGGCGTGGGACACAGCCACCCTTGAATTGCTTCAAGATCTTTGTCAATCCGGTACGTTGCACTGGTTTTTTGTTTAGTTCTAATCTTAAATCACTGAGGCTGTGTCATCTTCCTTCAAATAGCGCCAGGAGAGCGCTCCAGATTCAGTCATCCGCTTCCCCACCCGTTGTCCTGAAAAGTCTCAGCATCCGCTTCTGTTCAGAACTTCCGTTGATCTTAAGTACAACCTTTCAAATCAAAGAAGCCCTCTATTCCCTCGCCTAAATAATAAAAAGGTCCTATCAATCATGAACCTGGATTCGACACGGGTTCACTGGTCGACATCTCCCACATCTCAACAGGAATTTCAAGCTTATAACAATCACCAGTTTATTTCAACTGAACCCACAAACATGTCTCAGCAACAGCAATCCTTTCCTCCAGGCGCAGGTCCGAATGACGCTCCTCAAGACCAATACCCTCCAGGTCACGCGTACAGGAGGAGTCAGTCAAACTCTCCGTTCCGACACACCACACATCCATCACCGTATCCACAACCAAACATTCCACCAATTCAACCTCAACCGGAGCTAAAACAGGAGTCATACTACACCCCAACCTCCGCAGAGTTATACACTCATGCTCAGGTCCTCGCATCCGGTGCAGCAGAGGGGTCTGCTTCCGCCCATTACACTTCCCAAACCGCTATAACTCGTCTCCCCCCTATTCTACAAGTAGAGAAGAAGCAGGTCACCACATCCGCAACACAGGCTGCAAGTGCAAGTAGGCGGAGAAATGAAGCTCATTTCGCCTGTCCGGTCCCGGGTTGTGGGAGCACATTTACGCGTCGATTCAATCTTAGAGGTGCACAACTACATCAATATTGTCTCTGCATTCTCTAACCAATTCACTAGGTCATCTTCGATCTCACACCGAGGAACGTCCATATGTGTGCGAGTACCCCGATTGTAAGAAAGGCTTTGCAAGACAACATGACTGCAAGTGAGTCTTACTCCATCACAATACTCTTCGATCCTACGTTTGTCTTCGGCCGACCGCTGTTCCTTATCGCGTCACCGATCCTCTCTACATCATTGACTCACCTATGACATGCTCACGTCATGATCTACACAGGCGACATCAAGCACTACACGCCACGCGCTCCCAATCCAACATCTGTCAGGGCTGCAAAAAGACCTTCAGTCGCCTGGATGCCCTAAACGTAACTTCTCTATATCGTTACCAACTCACATTAGCTAACGTCCACCCCCCTTTTGCTTTCATCCAGCGACATCGTAAGTCACTATTCCCGTCGTTATTGACACTCGAGTGCTTACTACTCCGCGGTATAGTTCGTTCCGAGGGTGGTTCTGAATGCAGACAGATTGTAGAAGCCCAGCAGCAGGCTGCAGCACATGCTCAAGCGATCACACAATCTCAGGGTCCTCCACTACCTGACCACCCTCCCGGCAATCAACCAGGACCCAGCTCAAGCACTGCCGCCAGTTAGAGTTAGTGGTTGAGACCATGGACAGTCGGACTCCCAGAACGCTTTTAGATATTTCTCTGTCATGTTTTCATGATTCCTCTTTACACTCAGGATGTAAGATTACCTGAGCTATAGGCTCATCATCATTCATTCCCACTGATGTATACACTCTTGTATCGATTCCTTGGGCTTACAGTTAATATACTTTGCTCTTAATGTTACCCCCAATCATTATTGCCACGATCCGTGAGAACTTGGAGAAACACGTGAGAAGTGCACCTTCGGCTATCATAGGGTGTCGCTGCATGACTTAGTACTCATCCAACACTTCTCTTCCTCTCCCATCACAATGTCCCTTGCGATGCTCGTCGGCGGGGCTGAGTGCGGCCCATCGAACCCACTGCAGAGCCTGTCCAAAAAGTTCGACCAAGACCGCGGAGTGCAGCAGGTGCGTGCGGGGTTATGGGAAGTCCTAGGGTCACCAACCATTCTACCCCACTGCAGGATCTCATCGGTGGCACGCGTGCAAGTTCATCTCGAGAGGTAATAATAAAACCTCCTAATCAAACAAAACCCCGATAACATCACACGCAGGTTTTCCGCACCCAACAAGCTACTTCACCTGAACTACAACAGCATGCGGAACGTTTCTTTAATTCGACGCATGCGCCCCCGGCCCAGCTTGTAGTCCCTCAGCCTTTCAATCTGGCTGGATTTCATGATGCTCTTCCGCAAGTTCAAGCATCCATTCAATCACCGCAGACCCAGAACCCATTTCCCTCGGGCTGGGCGAGTGATTTTTTGGTACACCAGGTGCAGATGCCTGCATCTGCGATCAATCATGTCGAGGCTCAGCAAGATCGAATGCAGAGTCCTATTTCTGTGCCTATAAATCCGGGACTGCAAGGTGCGTGCTTATGGTGGGTACAGTGAATATATGGTACATGCGGAGTTCAAGTGCTAGGTAGCATGCCCTGGAACGCCTCGCATGTGGGCTACAGAATGAGTCCTATGTCGGGCATGATGGCCGCCGCAGTGCCGATGCCGATGCAAAGATCTGCTTTGCAGACTGATCGTGCGTTTATAGTTTGATCAAATGCAATCAAACGCTCATACATTGTCTGAAGAGATGTCATGGGACAAAGAGTTTCAGTCTCAGGAAACGATGTTGAATGCGCATATTGCCCCAGTTGCAGAATCTGTTCACACCGCATCAAAGCCTACGCCGAAAGACGATATGGCACAATTAGCAGCACGCGTCATTGATGCTGTTCAGGGCGAACAAAATCCCAAATTCCACCAGAGTCAATTCATGAGCCTCATGCGTCAGTTTCGGGACGGCGAAGTCATCGTTGAAGAAGACAAGATCGTTCCGAGTGAAAGCAGCACTGCTGCTCGTGTAGACGTCAAGGGAAAGGGGCGTGCGCTCGACATTCCTGTGCGAGAAGTTCAGGAACCTGTCCTTGTCCATTCAGTACCAGCGAGTTCCATCCAGGGTTTTCAAGGTTCCTTCGAATTAAGCGAGGCGTATCACCGTCAACGTGACAAAAACAATAGCGCAAACGATGCGTATTTTCAACAAGAAAACGAGGAGTTCTCAGATTACTGGGATGCTCATTATACAGGACCTGTGCCTCGCACTATATCCGCGGGCGAGCAAGGTTCATGGCATGAACTGCAACGCGATTGGGATGCCTTTGAAGCTACCTCCACGGGAATTAAAGCGTTGGCAAATTACCAATTTCAGGAGAACAATCCTTATCTCCTGGGCGACTCATCAAGGACGCACCATCATGGAATGCACGTGAGTGATGTCCAACGTGCCTATGATGTCAGTCACAAGACGCCTTCGTTTTTCACATGTATGCTGACTGCGCTCCATCTCAAATAGAACGTGCTCGAACTAGAGGCGGCTGTCCAGCGCGATGGAAACAACGCTGCAGCATGGTATGAGCTTGGCGTCAAACATCAAGAAAGCGAACGTGAAAAGAAGGCTATCCAGGCCCTGGAACGTTCTGTTGAACTTGATCCGACGCACCTGGGTGCTTGGCTTGCCCTCTCGGTATCTTACACTAATGAAAACAATCGCATGGGCGTTCACAAGGCAATCAAAGAATGGGCGATTCGCAATCCCAACTACACGCATATGGTTCAGAACGCCACTTTGACATCGGCTATTAATGTATCCTCTCCTGGTAATTTTGAGGCGTTGATAGAGTGTCTTATCAGTATGGCACGTAACGCTGATGAGGTGGGAGGTGTGGATGCGGATGTACAAGTGGCACTTGCTGTGCTACTAAACACGACAGATGTACGTGCTTGTGATCTCGGGTCGTCTCCATCTGTTCCGAGAGTGATGGGCTGATTATCAATTTCTCCACTAGGAATATGCCAAGGCGCAAGATTGCTTCCTGACGGCCTTGGCTGTTCGCCCAAATGTGTGTGTTTCAAAATTGATTTCATGGGCGCGAGACTGAAGCAAATTATTACCAGGACTGGCTTCTGTATAATAGAGTGGGTGCCACGATGGCAAACAATGGGCAGGCTGAGGAAGCACTTCAGTTCTACTATCGGGCACTGGATCTAAACCCTGCATATATACGAGCGAGGTATCGTGACCCTTTCCTCATAGTTGGTTGTCGTGGATGCTGAGTGAAACACGTCATGTGGTAGGTTCAACCTGGGTATTTCTTGCATTAATCTTCGGGTGGGTCTTTCTTATTCCGATAAGCTGTGATGCTGTGCTGTTGTTGACGTTGGTTTGACAGCGATACGAGGAGGCACAGTCACACATTCTCGATGCGTTAGTTTTGCAAGATAGTGATGGTGTGGCGGACGATGGTGGCATGAACGACAAGCGTGGTGTAACAAACTCCACACTATGGGAGAGCCTCAAGACGACGTGTTTACACCTTCATAGGCCTGACCTAGCAGCGTTATGTGATAAGAGAGACCTGGATGGTATGTTTTGGGACATCTTCTGATGTTTCTGATAAGGGGCTGATGACAGCTGATGTACAGGATTCAGGAATGCGTTTGAAAGCGGGCCTTGACAAGCGGATCCGTGAAATCCCCGACAATTCGTGCCGTAATGTCTGATTTTGTACTTGGATTTACTGCGTCTAGCACCGCTTCATCTGTATTTTACCTCGCATTTGTATCGCTAGAACCTATGGGGCTATCAGCTCGGAGTAGTTCTTGGGCCAGTAGCGTTTGATTCAAACCTGTACTCGGACCAGGAATACCTGCGCTCCCACGAATACCTGTGCTCGGGGCAGGTATACCGAGCCGTCTATTCCTCTCAGCCACCAATAGCTGGAACCACGGCAAGGTTTCTGGATCATTTGGCTGAATTGGATGCTCAGCCACTTTTTTCATTGCGAGGAGGGTCTTTTGCTTGGCCTCAAAGCGAGACTTTTGGTCTGCGACGAGGTCTCTAATTTCTTGGACATCGGCGTCTGACATTGGAATCATGGTAGGCGTGCGTCTGATCATGGTGTAGTCGATAGAAATCACAGGCTGGATGATCTGTATAACACAAGCGCAAGCGCTAGTTTGACGATGTAAACAATGATGAGCGGTGATAATAAGGTATCAAATAAGCGCCCTTGCTGACAACAATACGTGTTCACAACTGTTTGGTTATTAAACCCGACACGCGAAACGGAACGCAGCAGCTGAGCCGCAGCAGAAAAAACCTTGAACAAATACTGTACCCACAGACCATACTTTGAACTTTCAACCAACCACCATCCACTAAACAGTCATGGAAGCCGTTCTTCGTGTCACCGACGCCCTCAAGTCTTTCCGGGTACGTAGTAGTACTCTGCATGAAAGGGAAATTTGACATCTAACACTTATTCAGGAAACCCGCTTGAGCACCCTCAGAACTCCTGCAGAGTTCTTTGATATCCATCGAATTTCAAGACCTGCAGATTTCAACACGGCGGTATCGGTGCGTTTTCGTGGTTTGCATTCCCTGAGGACGGATGCTGAGAACCGAACTCGTAGCGACTCACATATAACACTCGGTATTTCTCGGGGAACTACACTCTCATCGTAGCTGCTCTTGCAGTATATTCCATGTGCGCAGGGTCCCAACCACGAGCTAGCGCTCAACCCTGAACCCATAGCTGACGTCGTCTCCTAGTATTGCAAGTCCTCTCCTTCTCTTATCCCTCGTCTTTCTCTTTGGAGGCTTTGCTGCCATCAACCGTTTTGGTGCGACTTACTCTATCTCTCTCTCCCCTTGATTCGGTGCTGACGTAGGGTTTTATTTAGAGGAAGTCTATGGGCAGTTCGTCACTCAAAAGACCCTGTACACAGGGCTCTTCGTGATCGGCATCCCCCTCCTGTGGTTCTCCTCTCCATTCATGACTTTGTTCTGGCTCATCGGAGCATCCGCGTGTCTCATTCTCACCCACGCATGCTTGATTGAACCAGGAGTGGAGAGCGAATATGCAAATATCGAAGGAGCAGTGTAAAATGTCATGGGGAAAGAGAATGAGGACTGAGTGTGCATGTGGTTGTTGTACTGTTTTCGAGATTGGACTGTGTCTTTTGTTTCTCGTGAATCCCAATTCCGGTCGCTCGTTCTTATTCGTTGATACCTCGTCTTCAATGTATAGGCGCGTATTTCCTTTACGTACATAGATTGTATAAATCGGAATGGGATGGTCCGAAAGTCAGTGTCATTGTCTACGTTTAGAATATCAGTACTAGGATAATGAATGATTCTATGATTGCAACGGCAGTGCAAGCGAAATCATGTGCAATATAAGAAGCTCATAAAGTAATGTACAGAGTTAAGCCATCCTCTCCAAGGAATGCAGTATCTCGGTACAAATGTAGATAGATAGATAAGCGAATCACAATATCATCCGGGTGGGTCATCGGGTCATAGGAGCGGTAACCACTGGCCTTTTGGGCGCCTATAGTTAACGTATTGATGGGAGTAAGGATATCACTTACCGATGACTATGCTGGGAAGATCAAAGATGTCCCTTCGTATCGAGAAACAAAAGGTCGAGGGTATCGGCGCGCCGGAGGGTTTGAGGAGAACGCAGTGCGAGTAAACTGATTTGGTCGTATTCTCAAAGGCATGAGAGGCGAAGTTTTCCCAGTATTCGACGACGGATTGGTTTTCGAAAAGCTGACACCGGGTCAACGTGATTTCAAGAAAGAGACCAAGTATACGAACTTCGTATATGTACTTGCGCTTTCCAACAAGATCTTCCAGACGCCACTCAGTGAGCATGCAAAACTCGGGTGCGACGAGACAGATTTCGCCGGTTCGCCTCCAGACTACCGTTGGTGTGCCACTGTACGAGATAAGCTTTTCGAGTTCCTACATGGGAAATCAAAACCAGTATCATGTGAGAACGAAGTAATATACGTACGAGTAGTGATCTTTGGAAACATTTCTCGACGAATACTTCGTCCTCATCCGTCATGGGCATTTGCAGAGCAATAAGTGATGGTCGAAAGATGGCGAGTGCTCGAACAATGCGTAATATGTCATTCTTTTCAAAACTGAACGGTCCAGGGTTCCAGAGGCAATCCAACCCAAGATAATATTAGGATTTGACCACACAGGCCAGGAGCTCTCGACTTCTCAGCACACAGAGTATACGCACCGACTCGGGAGATGCTTCATGAGGAAGTGGTAACCTTCAGTATAATCATAAGGTGTTGTTACGTTGATGGCCTGGATGGGAAGATGAGCCAGATACAGCATGAGAAAGTAGACACGAACAGAATGATGATCACCGCTTTGGATCGTAGGTGATGGTGACGTCTGCGAAGAAGACTCGTAAGAGTGAGAACGAGTATCCCTCGATGGCGTGCGTATTACACTTGAGGAACCGAGACTGACGACACCACGCGCATAGTGTGGAGCAAGGTTGTATGGAGCTGATAATTGCGGCTGTGGTTGAGCGTAGGAGTATTGGAGCGCTGGTGACGATGTTCGACATAGTGGCGCGGGATAGCTTGAAAGGAAGGTTGGCGACGGTTGAGAGGCAGACAAGCTATCCGGTTGTGGCATTGATAACTGAGGCGGATCTCCGAACGGGGAGCCAAAATTGCTTGGCGCTCCCTGAATGTACTGTGGTTGCGCGTGAAGTGGCTCAGGAGACCACGCCGAATTTGGGAGTGGCTGAGAAACCTGTTGCTGTTGCTGCTGCTGTGACGGAGATGGTGCTGTACCGGATTCTGGAGGACTTGGATTACCTAGGATCGCAGAAAGTATGGAATACTCTAAGTTGGCGGCCTCGGAGCCGAACGTGAAATTGGGATCGAACGACACATTAAAGAGTGGATCGTGCGATTGGAAGGTGTCAGCTACATGCAGTGTCAGAATATCACACGACTAGACAAAAGAGCTAAGACGTGTTACATGTCGGTTGGAGCGCGGGTGCAGGCTCTGAACTCGATTCAGGAACTCTGCCCTTTTTCTTAAGTTGTTCTGTCATAGGCACGTGATCAAAATTAACCGGGCGAGCGGAGATGCAGAGAAGCACGCACGAAGTTCGTCATCGTCGAGAAGATACTTGGCTTTCTTGCGATGGCCTTCTGTACAGGTAGAAGCAATTCCACGCTTGACGCAACGTTGACAAGGTCGAGCTGTTAGAGGAAATATGAGGTTGACATGTGCGAGATCCGGGAAACAAACAGGTGACCTACAATCATCACATGTTAAATGCGCTTTCTGACAGTGCGCGCAGGCACGGTTCGCTTTCTTTTTCTTGGGACCGTCCCTGCTTTTGCGAGGAGCTTCAGTGTCTTCATCGCGTCTGCGTTTCTTCAAGGCGACTTTGTCTTTTTGTGTGCGGTAATGAGAAGGGCCTGCCTGCGGTTCTGGAGTGACCATCTGGGAAGGATTCACGTATGCACTAGATGGTGAAGGAGCAGCAGTAGTCACAGGGGATGGGTCGACCAAAGTAGACATTTCTGAGGATGTAGCAGTGAGAATGGAATCTGCTCCCATGAGAGTTGTTATGAAGACATATAATGATCAACAAGGTAGATGTTTAAAGACTTGTAAGAAGTAAAAGGAAGAAGGATTATGACTGTCGGTTGCAAGCCAGGGAAACTTTGACGTCGGCCGTAAACCGATGAGCAACTGATATCCTTCTCATTTCCAATTATTGCCAAGTACATATAATATATTTTTTTACTATTTTGATTACATAATAAATCAAACAGCCGTAAACCGGTCGGCATTGCCGATCACGGACCGGAAACACCGGACTAACAACGAGGCAAAAATTCTATAGGTCTTGAACAAAGTTAGAATGCGTACCAGTGACAGTGTGAAACACCTGTTCGCTAGGCTAGTTTCTTCACTCGGTCGTGCAACTGCCACACGCGAATTCAAATGGATGAAACAAGCTTTGATCCCATCTCATTCTCTCACACTTCCCGCAATGCTCCAGCGCAGGTTGAGTGGAGAACCACTTCAATATATCTTAGGTGTGCAGACTAGTCCATCAATTCCACGTGCTAATCACTCATGCAGATCTCTAGGCACTACGCCATTTGGCCCACTTGACCTGCTGACAAGGCCTCCAACATTAATACCTCGTCCAGAGACAGAAGACTGGACTCTTCGCCTTGCGGATATGTTATCGCCGACCCCCCACCGTCCGCTAACCGTCCTCGATCTATGTACTGGCACCGGCTGCATACCTCTTTTATTATGTCATCTCTGGCCACCAGGCAGCACTCGCGCTTATGGTCTAGACATATCTAAAGACGCGATCCGCTTAGCCATGGATAATGCTGCACGTTGCAACATTCCATCATCCCAGCCCTCGTCCCTGACTCCATACAGTCAAAACGTATTCATTCCAGTGCTTGGTGATCTCCGTGATCCAGACATCTTCAAATACCTCCTGCCGCCATTCGACATTATTACGGCGAATCCTCCTTACATTCCAAAACGAGAGTACGACGAGCTTCCTATATCAGTCAAGGATTACGAAGATCCTGCCGCATTGTTGGGCGACCCCCCAGATTCCGAGGAACAGGATGGCCTCACTTACTATCGTCTCATTTCACAGCTTCTCAGACAAAAAGGGATGTTGCGGGACGGTTCAATCGTGGCATTGGAAGTGGGCCGAGCTCAAGCAGATGCGGTCGAGGGCATACTCCAGCAGTCAGCAGGCTTGCGAAACACGCAAGTATGGAAAGACCCATGGAATGTCAAACGTGTCGTCCTTGCACGCACTTGAGGATACTCACATACACGTGGCATGTCCTCGAGTGATCGACGCTCTTCTAATCTCCAGATGCGCGTAATAATAGCAATCTTACTCCGTTTCTGCCGTGACTCATGACGTCCGAGATATGAAGGTTTCTACCGCTTCCCTCGACAACGACGTGGTTGACCTATGATCGAACTATTGATTTGTTCTCTGAACGGAAACTCTTCCGGATATTTCATGGCGACCACACGTGGCAGCCCACATGCGGGGAATACAGACGGAAATCTCCCACTGCGAAGGGTGAGACGCCATGACAATGACAATAATTGCACGTGGCGCTTATGTGGCAGAGCAACCGACCATGATTGGCGAGGAAAGCCGATTGCTCGTGGTGATTGATTTCAAGGTTGTCCGCAATCCAAATACTCAGGAGGTAATGGATTTGATGTTACATTCGCAGAAAGCCGAAGTGTAATTAGTGTCATGGGCAGAAAGGAATTGGCCTCTTGGCAGATGGCAGAATGGCAGAATGTCAATTGGCAGAATGGCAAAAGTCGGCAAAATGTATTGTGAGCGTTTTTAGCTCTTTTCAACTATGTTTGTACTATGGCAAAAATGGTTTTGAGTACTACACTAAGCTATACTCATGAGTCAAAAGTGCATCAATATCATACCCTGATGCACTCTCTGAGCTTTGATTGAGTACATTGATCTCTTCAACAAAGCCAGTTGGCACCGTGGATACCTTCTGCCCCATCATTTTCTGACAGTTGGTCAATCCTGGTGATCAGAGTCTGCTGCAAGGGGAGTAATCCATGCAAATGACCTTTGAGTCGACTTGGAAGTTGCAGAAGCAATAGATCCGGGGATAGAATTGATAGAATTGAGCCTTGATTGCATTTTTTGTAGTGAGCCACACTGCACGAGCATGCCCAATGATCATATTTTTCAGTCAATTAGATGGATGCTGTTGTGCCGAGCAGCAGTTGCATGTGAAAAAGTAGTGATTTGAGTTGTTTTTGACCAAATTTTGACTTTCTCCCCAGTAACTACTAACAAAGTGGTTGGACACAATTTTTTGGACAGAATGGCCCTTGGGCTTCTAGGCCACATGTCATATTTTTATTGTTTTTTAGTAGGAACAAATACTAGTTCAGCGTATTTCTGCCGACTTCCGCCAACCACCCTTGACCTACTGCCAGCAATTGCCGCTTGGCAATTGCCACTGGCAGAATGGCAGCATTCTGCCAACAACACTAAGTGTAATTCTATGTGAGTGATCTCATTGTGAGCAGCTTAATGAAAAGTTTGATCAACCCATGCAGACCCCTCACGTTGCATATTTCCGCCGTCTTTATATCTCACCTTATCTCATCGCATTCCCAAGCCCCGGCAAGCGCCACATTTCCGCCTGAAGATGTCTATTTTCTAGTTGATGCTGAAATCTGGCCTACTTTTAGCTGTTCTCCTGATTGGCGGTGGTGATATCGATGAAGGTTGAGAGGTTTCTTACGAGAGTGAGTCAGAGTATATGTCAGATGAGTCTTCAAGGAATAATGAATCAATACGCAGCCAACAACGTGTTGTATTCTAGGCTTCAGACCACCGACTTTACGACATTGGTTTAAATCCCCCTGTGATATTTGTGCGACATGAGCACTGTTGTACTCACCACCGCTTGCAGCATTTCCTCTTCTAACGCCCCCATTACCGCCATGACAGAGTAGTGCAAATGGACTTTAGAAGGTAGAGGGCGACGACGACTCGTTGATTCAAATAGATATACTGGCGCCTTTTTGTGCTCCACAGTCATTCCGCACCATCGCCAGGAAAAGTCCAACAAGACGAGATGATACAACAAGTATTCATGATTGATTCGCCATACTAGGATTTTGTGGGCTAGCCGCGGAGTCTGGTGGTTACAGTGGCATCCATTTTTCTCGACAATCAACAAAACACCATGGAAGACTATCTTGGTCTGATCGGAATGATGCATGCGCCACTTCTGTCGCCATTCTCTGGATGTTGAAGTGTTTGAGGAAGATTGATCTTGCTGTAAGCTGCCGAGCCTAGTGCCTACTTCTTCCTATCTTCCAGACTGATTGAGCTCTCTTATATCTAGTTTGGACCCAAGTCGTGAAGCTGTTCGTTGAGTGCTTCTCGATTATCCTACGCGAGTGATTGAGCTTCCCGCGCCTTTGTACATGCATCCAACTAGCATTCCGCAGGGGTCGGATCCAAACGCATTACTTCACATCAAGTTTCTACTCTCAAATAGAGCATCGCTTGCCCGATTACGATACGTGTTTCCAACCTTCCAGCAACACATCTTGGTCTGAAGAATCGTCATCTTCCAAATGATCTGAAACCTGTGGTGTCGGAGATAAGGCGGAGACAGCCAGTGGGAGTTCCACCTGCGGTCGTAGCGCATCCCAGGGATATTGGTGAGGTTTACTTCCAACGGGGCGAGCTGGTGTATGGGCGCTCTTCTAACAATGAAGTGCACACTCCAAGCTCACACCCCAAAGGGCGTTGTAGTCAACCGAATTACATGGTGGATTACCTCAAAATGAACAATAATCGTGCTTTAGCAAATGCGTAGCTATGCTCGAGCCTCGCATCGAGAGATTAGAATACTTTGAATATTGATGTGGGCTGAAACTTGCGTCAAGTACATAACGTAACCCTCCTGAAAACATCTGGCCAAGTAGCGGAAGTCCCTCACCGGCCGTGAAGTTTTCAACTATGCTTGCAATGACGATCGGTGCACCGCCTCCAACCGGCGGCCCAAACAAGCTCCACTAGATTGGATCTTGATCATTACTACTTGTACAAGCCGATGGATGTTGGTTCTGCATACCTTTGCCAGTGCTCGCGTGATTGAATTCACGAGATTAATTATTATTCGGACTACCAATGCATATTGGTTCTGCGGCCCGCTATCTGGAACCGACCACTGCCCGTGGCGCCACTACGGTTCGCGTGATTGGATCTACAAGGGCAAGATAAGGCAGTCATTTACTACGGGGGGAGCCGACAGAGGAGTCTCTTCATACATCTACCATCTCATACGCAAAGCTTAGCATGGCATACGAGAGCATCCCACTCGAAGCCTTCCATGAAACATTCAAATCTAATACAGGTGCGTCACATTATATTTGGATCGCTCTTTGTTCAATCCCGACGCAACTCGTCGAATTCAGAGCTCTCCAGTGTCGCACTAGGAGGAAAGGTTGTGAAAGTCTCAGACGAGTTCTTCGCTGAGGCATCTCACCTACTTGAAGTTGAAGTAAGTTTCACAGCCAGTGCGAGTTTGCAACATATCAAATCCCTCTCAACAGCCAGCTCCCAGCCTCAAAGGGCAGTTTGGCCCTAATGGCGCGTTGTACAGCGGCTGGGAGTCACGGAGACATAATCCTTCCTACGACTGGTGTGTTGACGAGGTATGATCTGCATAATATGTCACGAAAGTGTTCTCCGCACAGGTGTATCATCAAACTTGGCACGTTGGGCACGGTCGTCGGATTCGACATCGACACATCCCACTTCAACGGTTTGTCTCAGGCTTATCTTTACACAATAAATGATATTGATAAGCTCGTCGTAATGAGTAGGTAATGAAGCTCCCGAAGTGTCTGTAGATGGCATCATTGACCCATCATTGGATGAACATAACGTGGACAACGCAAAGGTTCGTGTCCGTACCTCGCGTCCGCTTTTCCTAAACCGAAATATAACGCTCCAGTGGACGGAGATATTACCTCGTGTCCCCCTCGGCCCGTCTAAGCGGCATCTTTTCAAGATACCAGAGACTGAACAAGTGAAGTTTGTAAAGTTAAACATGTATCCGGACGGCGGTATCGTAAGATTCGTGAACGACTGCTCGAACGTGAAACTCACGTGTTTAATTATAGGCGCGTTTCCGAGTCTACGGTAACGTCGCTCCTGTGCAGCCTGACAGCCCCCAGGAAGTGTTCGATCTCGCCCATGTTTTCGCTGGAGGTCGCGTGACATTTATGTCCGATCAGCATTTTGGTGTTGGCGCCAATCTGATTCTCCCAGGACGTGGTAGGTCTCGACATCTCGTGCATCTCGGCAGTTTGAGTTACTATATCTGTGCAGGAAAAGATATGGGCGATGGTTGGGAGACTAAGCGGAGCCGGCAAAAGGGTCACAAGGATTGGGTGATCATTAAATTGCAAGTCACCGAAACCTCCCAGAGTCCCATGAATTGAGCTTATAGGCGACTATCTAGGGGCGCACCAGGCCATCTAGGAACAGTCGAGATTGACACGGCACATTTCAAGGGCAACTTCCCAGAGAGCTGTGAGCTCCACGCTTTATGTAGCGAAGACGAGATACCAGATAGCGATGCCGTCGATTGGACACAAATTTTGTCCCCGGTCAAGCTTGGTCCGCATCGGAGGCACTTCTTCGCACTGGATGCAGATATCTCTGTCGCCTACACGCACGTAAAGCTTACCATATATCCTGATGGTGGTATCAAACGCGTACGAATCCATGGCACGAAGGGCCCCTGTCCTACAGCAGACCTTGCGGTCAGACCTACTGACACAGCAGAAAACGATGCTGCTACACCACTTGAGTCGGCGCCTGTAGCAATGAAACAGGTCAAAACCATACCTGTTCTCCCCCTTACACCAGAAGCCTTTTCGCCCTTTGGCCAAGTCATCCAAGCATACGGTGACCATGCCGCGGCTCCCCCAGGGACCAAGATCACGCCTGCCAATCAGGGTTCTGCAACCAAATTTCATAAACTTTCACTTTTGAAATCGTCGTATCCGGCTGATCTGGGGGCTAGCAGTGGACTGTCCGTCTATCGCTGCAATCCGACAAAAGTCGTTAATGGTGGTGTGGAGCTCAAGGTCGTCGAGCGTCACCCATATACAAACCAGGCCTTCATTCCTATGGGAGGGGGAGGTATACAGGGTGACGAGGCGCTGAAGGAGCCAGGTAGTGCATACCTTGTGGTGGTCGCCCACAATGGAGCCGACGACAAACCCGACTTCAGCACTCTTCGTGCATTCGTAGCGAGTGCAGGGCAAGGAATCATGTATAACACCGCAATTTGGCGTAAGTGACCCACCCACTTTTGCGTTACCAGTTTTTACAACATGTTTCAGATCAACCGATGACGGTTTTGTACAAGGTAACGGGCCTCTTTAATCTGTTCTGGAATGCACAAGCTCACCAGCTTTCTGGAAGCCAATGGACTTCACTTGCGTGGAGACGCAAATCGGGAATGGCGACAAGGCGGATTGCGAAATATTGGACTTGGAAGCTAGCGAAGTGGTCATTTTGGCGCTTCCGCGTCACTAGGTTACCTTCCTGCTGGACATAACGATTAATCGACAAAGCGTTACATCAGATCGGAGTGATGTGTATTATTTAAGCTCTAGTGTTCGAGATCAAGCCACAATCCAGGCTTGTAAGCTCTATGTAGGTCAGTGATATGTCTATTAGTGTAATAAATCTACTTCTTTGCCTGCGGCATCGTCTTGCGGTAGGCCTCTTCCAGTTCCTTCTGAACGTTGGGTAGCACAGGCATATGGTTCTACAAGGACAACATCAGCTCCTACCCTTCAATCAAGGTGCATAACATACCTTGTACTCCATGGTAAACTCGCCCTTGCCCTGCGTCGCACCGCGGAGCTGACTCGAGTAGCCAAACATGTCATTCAGAGCGACTTCTGCAGTGCAAACGAACTCTTCATCGCGGACTTCACTGTCAATGATAGTGCCTCGCCGTTGATTCAGTCCACCGATGACAGCGCCTATATGAGAAGTGAGTTCATCCATGCAGTCAAAAGGGTTGTTGTGACATACTCTGGAATTCGGATGGGGCGACAACCTCAACAGTCATGATAGGCTCAAGAATGACCGGCTTTGTATTTTTATAAGCTTCGCGGAATGCACCAATAGTGGCGTTTCGGAAAGCAAGTTCAGACGAGTCCACAGCATGGAAAGCGCCATCCTTGAGCACGAAGCAGCAGCCAGTGATGGGGTTACCCGACAGTGAACCCTTCTCAAGCGCCTCATAAAAGCCCTGTACGACAACATGAAGACATGATCGATCTTCGAGTAACTACGTCGACGTACCTTCTCCACAGCAGGAATAAAATTAGTGGGGATGTTTCCTCCCATGACAACATTCACAAAGTCAACATCACGGCCGAGGTCCTCGCTGTATTCCATGGGCTCAATGTTTCCGATGACACGTGCGAATTGCCCTGCACCACCAGTTTGTTTCTTGTGTGTATAGTTGAACTCCGCACGCTGCGTGATAGTCTCGCGGAAGGCGACGCGAGGTTTACCAGTCGTACAAGCAACATTGTACTCACGACGCATGCGCTCGACGTAGATCTCCAAGTGAAGTTCACCCATACCAGAAATGATGGTCTACAGTGAAACGTGAATAAAGGAGTGGCATTGCATACAAGTATACATACCTCTTTGCTCTCTTTGTCAAGATGAACTCTGAACGTTGGATCTTCCTTCTGGAATCGGTTCAGGGCACGAGAAAAGTTGGGAGTCTCTTTGCCTTCAGGATTGATTGCGAGG